CCATGTGAGATCAGAGATATCTACATTTAAAAATACTACTAATCACAATATACATTTCTAAAAGGTTTTTGACTTCCTATTCCTTGTTTGTATCCAGTTTTTTGTGATAAAAATGTAACATTAGACTCCGGAAAAGCTATTAGACTCCGGAAAAGCTATTAGACTCTATTAGAGCTATTAGAGCAAGAGGGTCTAAAGACATTAGACTCCGGAGATTCTCTGTAGTCTAAAAGCCTAGTGAGAACCCTAAAACCCAAACAATGTAATATGATATACTGCATGCAGAAAAGGTCATCCCTGTAGATAAACATTTCAAAACCTTGTAATTCATATCAAACATTAAATGAACTTGAAACATTGACAATTTTTATAATAAAAAAAAACTAAAAATATACTTTGAAATCGTATAAAGTAACTGATGTAACTTAATCTGTGTATGGTACAATCCCCCTACAAAATGAAATAGAAATAGCTATAGATGGATAGATTACTTATATATGTACAAACATACCTCATTTGCTATAGCATTGACATGGAATATCACACCAGGAACAGACATAATATGGAGAATAAAAAGACTGAGGAGGTTGTCGGAGAAGTTGGCCGCAAGTAGAGGTCTGAAACACATATAGAAATTATATCAAAGCAGATGACTCTCCAGAATTGAAGCTATTTAGTGCTGCACTCATGCTTCAGTCAGATTTGATCTACGGCAACAGAACGGCAGCCGTAACTTCCCAAAATCGAGAGAAATATACAGTACACAATATAAGGATTAGCAGTATGATATTCTAGGTTTTCTATATCGATTTCGTGAAGCTACAGCTGCCATACAGCTGCCTTTGAGCAAATGTGACTGAGGCTTTAGTTGTCATCAGTTTTGAAAATAAGCAATTTTGGGAATTTTTGGTAATATTACTGAACATTGAAAAATTAAACTAATTTGATACATATTTTGTGTAAATTGAACAGAATTTCTCAAAGTTAGAGCCATTTTAGTGAAAAATTCGCTGACTGTTATATCTGTCACTCTTGGTATTCAAGGGATTAACTACCTACCTTAATGCTATGGTTACTAAAGCAGACATTGTGGCATGTTTGAAACAGGGTTTACTTCTAGCCAGTCCTTTATGTAGCACCCCTTGTAGGACAAGGTATAGACCTTTTGAGTTCAGATGTCCCATAATGTTTGAACAAAGTTGGTTCATTCCTGGTTTCAGAGCTTCACCTAATTTATTTATTATTTATTATTTATTTGACAGTCACTTTTATAACAGTGGCACTCAAAGGTGCGTGAATATTACATATAAGTAGTATACAAACAATACATTTTTTACTAAATCCGTTGAGGAATATGAGACATAAGCTAGTAAAATCATTAAAATAGGCTAAAATCACGCAGTGTCATGTTCCACATACACCTTTTGCAGAAATATTTTTGTACAAACATCAAAATTCCAGCCATTGTCGTGTCCCCAAATGCTAAACACATCATCCCCAAGAATCCACTTTAATTTCATTTGTGGGGGGAAATTAAGGTACTGAGACACAACAGGAGCATCACATTTACTACATAAATCATGTATAAATTCAGTTTTTTGTTTCTGGAAATGAGGACAGAGGAGGAAACGATGGATGGGATCATCTATAACATTTAAGTTACATAATTAAGAGAATACATTGAAGCAATTTAATGAAAAATGTGTACAAGTCCAAAAACTTCAGTGCTCAGCTAAAACTGAAAAACTGCAAAGATGACCCAAATTTTTTTTTCTAATTTTGAATGCCCTTATACAGCACTGTACACCAGAGTGACTTCGAAATTCATCATTTCCTGATTAAATCTGACTATGAATTGAGATGATGTTGTTTGCCTAGTTTTGCCCAACATGAGCCGATGTTTCAATTCCAAAAATGCAAAACAAGATACAAAGTTTAGGGTAAAGTTGAAAAAGAAAAAAACACTCCAAGATGATGAAACATTTTATTCAAAATCATAATAACAATATGAATAATGGCGCAAAAACCTGTTCATAAATATTAAAGATCTTACCCTTTCCTCTTAGTATTTTCCAATTCTGGGTACTTGTGAAAGTAATCAGCATTCTGAGATAAAGAGTGATACGCTTCATCGCAGTAGGAGACTCTGGCTGAAACAAGAGAAATATCCATTGGGCAAGACATCTTATCAAATGAAGAAGATTTAGTATACCGTATGTGGAATAGACTTACAATAACAAGTCATTGTTCATCAAAAAGTAGACAATGGTTTTCTCAGAATCGCAAGTTACAATTGTAGCAAAAATGAGATGAATAGGAAATTACATGTACTCATAATGTTTTAATACAAGAACAGCATTAACTCTTAGCAGTCTGCCGACGATTTATCTCGCAAAATCAGACAATCCCTGGGGTGCAGACGAGATAACTCGCACTTTAGGTACTTGGGGTTATGCTAAAGTTCATTAGAAACAAAAAATATGTGTTGTGTTGATAATACATACCCAACACTTGATGACCAGACCAAAAATATATTGTCTATAGCCTAATATTTAAAATTTAATGGTTATTATGGTCAAATGGTCCATTTTGCTCAGACCAGGGCAGCAAATACTGGGAATTAGTTAAGACTGCTAAGAGTTAATCTGTGATTCTAGAATAGGAAATTACCCGTAATGTTTTAATACAAGAACAGCATTGCCAGAGAATGTTCTTAATCTGCTGGATCCACCCTATCACATGGTCCTTGGAGAGGGCTACTGACACATAGCAATGCTGCAAGAGAAGATAGTATCATGAGGTCTATGTACCTGTAGTTGCAGGATTACATTTTAAGCTCTTACTACATGTAGCTCAGCCTCTTAACAATTTCATAAAAAATCTCTAACTTGAAAATTAATTATTGGACTTTGTCTTTTTTTAAATTCTTATGAATATCAGTAAGCAGCAAATTGAAGTTCCTGAATTATATATGTCTTCAAACTTTGATAACAGAAAAAAAGTTAATGTCAAGGTACATGTATGTTGATGTTATTTGGCCTCTATACTATAACTCAAATGCATACATGTATCATAATCATCAGATGTTTTGAGATGCATAACTGAAGGTATAAACAGAACAATACAGGTTGTGCTGAAAGTATGGGACCCCCTAGGCAGACATATACCAATATCTAAATAGTGTGTGTCATATATAATTTTAAAGCTGTCCAAAGTTACATTGATTTGCCTTGAATACCATTGTTCAAGTCACAAATCGGAAAAAGTCAGGGTTCGATCTTAGCGGTAGCAAGGAGCAAATTTGCTATAATTTGTTTCCCCCGCCATTGATTATACTACCTTTATTAGGATTAGATGATTCATTCTCCTATTTTCAATGAAAACATGCGAATTTTGGTCTGAAAAATCACAAATGGTTCTCAGACGACTCTTGAACGTAAAAAAATGGTGGTTTCGTTCAGTGAAAAAAGATGAGGGATAACCGCGGGGATTCGTTATAAGACATGAATAGAATTTGAGGAGCAATTTGCTACCTGATAATGTTTTCTTGGAGCATTTTTGTTGCTACCTGAATATGGGAATTTGCTCCTTGTTTTGGTAGAAGGTAGCAAATCCTTGCTACTGGTAAAAAAAGTTAAGGTCAGACCCTGAAAGTTCAAAAAGATATGACACATCAGGGTTCTCACCAGGAAATTTTTAGACCCTGGATTTGTCGCGATATCGTGACTACTCCTCTCCCATGTGAGATCAGAGATATCTACTTTTAAAAATACTTAACTTAAGATTATCTTCCTATTTTAATCACAATACTAGTATACATTTCTAAAAGGTGTCTGACTTCTTATTCCTTGTTTGTATTCAGTTTTATGTATTTTCTCAAGAGTTTTACCACAAATAATGTGACAAAAATGTAAAATTAGACTCCGGAAAAAACATTTTAGACTCCGGAAAAGCTATTAAACTCTGGAGAATCTCTGGAGTCTAAAAGCCTTTGAGAACCCTGCACATAATATGGAGACAATAGACATTGGTATATGTCTGCCTAGAAGGGGGTCACATACTTTTGGGATACCCTGTATAATACCACTTATTCCAATTCATCATTCTCCAAACATGGATACAGAAATTATACAGTTATTCTGGAACTTGCAGCCCTGCCATCAGAGGATTATTTGGCATATCATCATTGTATACATATTCATTAAAAAATGTTCTAATGCATAAGCAACTCAAGAAGGTGCAATATGCTCACCTTCATATTTTCAGAGTCCATACTCGCCAGCAAGTATCGGCACAAATATTCAAACATGACGTCATCCACATCTGGCTTAAACACAAACCAAAACCTTTGTATAACTTTATATATTTTTACACTCGGCACTAATGCTGCTTTATATTCATCCTGCTCATTCTCATCTGGAATTTTCAAGATTTCACTTAGCTCTCTCCTAATCTCCTTGCGTGTCCTTCTTCTAGAGAGAAATCCCCTCACGCATGCTTGCATTTTTAAGGCAGCCTCATCTCGCAATTTCTCCTTTGCTCGCTCTTCACGTGCAGATTTTGCTTTGTCAATGACATCTTTCTTCTGCGCTGCTGTAGATTGGTTGAACATTATCAAGAATTATCGTTTCTGAATAATCTCTGAACAAGTCTTAAAGAATTATACCATTTCGCCTTTGTACTTCTTCTGAATGTCCAAAATTCTGATAGCCTATTACTTATACTCAGTAGTCACTTGGTTGGTTCACAGGTCCATGGTTGGAGTCAATCATTGACTTTATGGTTGATTGACATCAAAAATAAATAAAAACAAAAATCCATCATTCAATAATTCTTTTCTAAAAATGACTTGTGTTCCTAGTTGTATGCAAAACAAAGCTTGGGTCAATAATCATACAAAAGATCGTCGAATAAAGCTGCGTAGAGTAGTAATTCAAGAAGAATTGGAGAAAAATAATTTGTTTTGAAATTTATTTTGGGCGATAATACAGTTTGTATTTTTAACCAATCAGATCTTAGCGGAAGTACGTCATTTTTAGAATGAGAAAGGCTGGGTTTTGTCACTTTGGCCCTTGAAACCGGTTCCATAGTTCAATTTGAAGTGCCAAATGTAATCAGAACAGCACCATATAACTCATTGAATGTCAAGATGAGTGGATATCTTGATGATCTTAGTATTGTACAAGAGGAAAAGCTGAAAAAGGTACTAATTTTCAAATAAAATTCTATTATCGCCCATTTGGTTTCCGAGTATGTAAACATCAAAATCGAAATAGTGATCAATAGAATCAATAGTTTTCTGTTAAATATTAGTACGATTAGAATGAAATATCATAAAAAAAATTCGAGTCTCTAGCCAATACTTGGCTAGAGGTGATTTCATCTGGAATACTGTGAACTCTTACTTCCTTCAAAAGCTATTTGGATTTTGATATAATAGCTTTCCCACGGAGCATTTGGACAGCTGAATGATTCTGAAATCGAATTAAGTCGATCAGCGGCTTACTTTTGGTCTCTAACTGTGTCTTACATCAGTATCATCAATCCGTGTAAGTATTAGAGCGCTGAAATTCTTTTTTTCGATCAAGACTTGTAAACTGTTCATAGAGTGAATGTTTTTTAGACCTATTCTAATATGGCGGTTTGCTAGGAGAGAGATACGCAATGAACGAAATGAATTTTGAGAATTAGTTAGGTTCGGACAACCTCCGGAGATTTACGAAAATGTCCGAGCAGAAAACGCCATATTGGAATTTGGCAGTAGAAACATTCACTTGACTAACAATTACAAGTCTTGATCGAAAAGGAAGTACTTCAGCGCTCCAATACTTGCACAGAAGGATGATAATGATGTATAACATAGTTAGAGAACAAAAGTAGGCCGCTTATCGACTTAATTCGATTCCAAAGGTCACTATTAATCAGCTGTCCACTTCCCCGTTTGAGAGCCATAAGTTTCAAAATCTAACATGGCTCTCGAAGTGAGTAAGTGAACTCCATTTGAAAAAAGCTGGCCGCCGTGTCATGAATTTATTGAATATTTTAAAAATCGCCAGATAAATAAATCAAAAATTAAATCGGAACCGACTGGGCTCCTTGATGATATATGACATGATTTCGTCAGGATTTCGTCTAAAACTAAACAAAATGGCTCCAAGAAAAATGGCGATATTCGAAGACTGGACGAAATGTCGTTTACGTCTGACATTAGTAACTGGCTGTAAATTCTAAGTTAGGGATCCAGAAGATGTGAACTACACTGATCACTTCATGTGTGTTATGGAATTTTTGGTGAGGTAATAAGACCAAAACTCGCAATTCAAATTGTGATGTGGAAAAATGGCGGACATATGATTTCAAATTTTATGATTATGACATTACCAATTGTTCATACAGGAAATTATCTTTCCAGGAAGGCCACGATACAGTGGCCTTAGAAGAAGGTAAAGTGCAACAACTTTGGCATTAGATAGTTTACGATGCTAAACAATAATTTGCAGCAATGGATTATAGATATTATCACTGTATAAAAGTTGGGGGTTCTCCAGCTCAAGTACTTTTCTACAAGTTATATACTGAATGTTTATTCTCAATTTTGGCCTCTGTCATCATCATAGGCCCCGGGAACATGTATAAAATAGCGAGTCGACATCTGTATTACTACTTCTTCTGTAGTAATACAGATATCGACTCGCTATTTTATACATGTTCCTGGGGCCTATGGTCATTATAGAAAGGGATTTATAGGAACGCCTCCCTCCGCCAGTCCATCTGTCCGTTCAGCCATGGGCTTTCAACTCTATGTCTATGTCAATAATCTGCAAAAGGCTAATAAGCCCATGAAAGCAGATATACTCTAATTGAAAGCCCATGGTCCAGGCAATAACTGGTCATGTAAACTAGTCTAAATGACAAATTTAAGTAATTAAACTGACTAGAGGTCAAAACAGAACTCTGTTATCTTGGTTCAAAATTTTTTCGAAATCCAGCATGGTTTTGTCATTTTTATGTCACCACCAAAAGTGGTGACATATTGTTATGGTCTCCGTTTTTTTGCTACGGCGTCCGGCGGTTGGTGGTTGGTGTCCGGCGTCCGGCGGTTGGCGTCCGGCGTCTGTAACAATTTCTTACAACTTCCTATAACTTAACAAATACTGTTTAGACTGACTTCAATTTTTTTCTAAATCATCTACATGTTCTCAGAAGTTCAAATCTGACTTTAGATTTGACATTTGACCTTCAATGACCTTCTCAAGGTCAAAAAGGTCTTTTTTCAACTTGCTTCACATTGACTAAATTTTTTTTCAAAATCATCTACATGTTCTCAGAAATTCAAATCTGACTTTAGATTTGACATTTGACCTTCAAATCTGACTTTAGATTTGACATTTGACCTTCAATGACCTTCTCAAGGTCAAAAAAGGTCAAAAAGGTCTGTTTTCAACTTGCTTCAAATTGACTAAAATTTTTTTTCAAAATCATCTACGTGTTCTCAGAAATTCAAATCTGACTTAAGATTTGACTTAGGATTTGACATTTGACCTTCAATGACCTTCTCAAGGTCAAAAAAAGGTCTGTTTTCAACTTGCTTCAAATTGACTAAAAAAAATTTTCAAAATCATCTACGTGTTCTCAGAAATTCAAATCTGACTTTAGATTTGACTTAAGATTTGACATTTGACCTTCAATGACCTTCTCAAAGTCAAAAAAGGTCAAAAAGGTCAAAAAGGTCTTTTTTCAACTTGCTTCAAATTGACTAATTTTTTTTTCAAAATCATCTACATGTTCTCAAAAATTCAAATCTGACTTTAGATTTGACATTTGACCTTCAATGACCTTCTCAAGGTCAAAAAAGGTCAAAAAGGTCTGTTTTCAACTTGCTTCAAATTGACTAAATTTTTTTTTCAAAATCATCTACGTGTTCTCAGAAATTCAAATCTGACTTAAGATTTGACATTTGACCTTCAATGACCTTCTAAAGGTCAAAAAAGGTCAAAAAGGTCTGTTTTCAACTTGCTTCAAATTGACTAAAATTTTTTTTCAAAATCATCTACGTGTTCTCAGAAATTCAAATCTGACTTTAGATTTGACTTAAGATTTGACATTTGACCTTCAATGACCTTCTCAAAGTCAAAAAAGGTCAAAAAGGTCTTTTTTCAACTTGCTTCAAATTGACTAAATTTTTTTTTCAAAATCATCTACATGTTCTCAGAAATTCAAATCTGACTTTAGATTTGACATTTGACCTTCAATGGTCTTCTCAAGGTCAAAAAAGGTCAAAAAGGTCTGTTTTCAACTTGCTTCAAATTGACTAAATTTTTTTTTCAAAATCATCTACTAGTTCTCAGAAATTCAAATCTGACTTAAGATTTGACTTAGGATTTGACATTTGACCTTCAATGACCTTCTCAAGGTCAAAAAAGGTCTGTTTTCAACTTGCTTCAAATTGACTAAAAAATTTTTTCAAAATCATCTACGTGTTCTCAGAAATTCAAATCTGACTTTAGATTTGACTTAAGATTTGACATTTGACCTTCAATGACCTTCTCAAAGTCAAAAAAGGTCAAAAAGGTCTTTTTTCAACTTGCTTCAAATTGACTAAATTTTTTTTTCAAAATCATCTACATGTTCTCAGAAATTCAAATCTGACTTTAGATTTGACATTTGACCTTCAATGATCTTCTCAAGGTCAAAAAAGGTCAAAAAGGTCTGTTTTCAACTTGCTTCAAATTGACTAAATTTTTTTTTCAAAATCATCTACGTGTTCTCAGAAATTCAAATCTGACTTAAGATTTGACTTAAGATTTGACATTTGACCTTCAATGACCTTCTCAAGGTCAAAAAAGGTCAAAAAGGTCTGTTTTCAACTTGCTTCAAATTGACTAAAAATTTTTTTCAAAATCATCTACGTGTTCTCAGAAATTCAAATCTGACTTTAGATTTGACTTAAGATTTGACATTTGACCTTCAATGACCTTCTCAAAGTCAAAAAAGGTCAAAAAGGTCTTTTTTCAACTTGCTTCAAATTGACTAATTTTTTTTCAAAATCATCTACGTGTTCTCAGAAATTCAAATCTGACTTTAGATTTGACATTTGACCTTCAATGACCTTCTCAATGTCAAAAAAGGTCAAAAAGGTCAAAAAGGTATTTTTTCATCTTGCTTCAAATTGACTAATTTTTTTTTCAAAATCATCTACATCTTCTCAGAAATTCAAATATGACTTTAGATTTGACTTTAGATTTGACATTTGACCTTCAATGACCTTCTCAAGGTAAAAAAAGGTCAAAAAGGTCTTTTTTCAACTTGCTTCAAATTGACTAATTTTTTTTTTCAAAATCATCTACATCTTTTCAGAAGTTCAAATTTGACTTTACAAGTTCTCAGAAATTGAAATCTGACTTAAGTTTGAACTCATAATATTGTGAGCAACTAGGTGGTGACATTTTGTCATGTTAATGCCTTGTTTGTTTTGTCACTTACTGTTAACTACCACCGCACCTTAACATTTTCTTGTTGTTTTAGTTCAGAGACCGTGTGAAAGATGTATGTACAGATAAACACAATGACTATCAGTTACTTCGATGGCTCAGAGGTAAGTAGAGTACTTGTATATAAATGTAAAGCACTTAGTTATGATATAGTATTCAAGGGCCATAGACAGGAGAAACGAGGCAAGCTGAAACTGTAAAATTGAAATCCTCTGGTAATATCAATTAGCTTAGATTTGCTTCTCCTATTTTAATTTGTCTCACCTATTTGAATTTGCCTCCCTATTTGAATTTGTCTCACCTATTTGAATTTGCTTCTCCTATTTCAATTTGCCTCCCCTTTTTGAATTGCCTCCCTATTTGAATTGCCTCACCTATTTCAAGTTGCCTCACCTATTTGAATTTGCCTCTCCTATTTGAATTTGTCTCACCTATTTGAATTTGCCTCCCTGTTTGAATTTGCCTCACCTATTTCAAGTTAGCTTATCAATTAGCTTAGATTTGCTTCTCCTATTTGAATTTGCTTCTCCTATTTGAATTTGCCTCTCCTATTTGAATTTGTCTCACCTATTTGAATTTGCCTCACCTATTTAAATTTGCCTCAGCTATTTGAATTTGCCTCCCCTATTTGAATTTGCCTCACCTATTTGAATTTGCCTCACCTATTTGAATTTGCCTCACTTATTTGAATTTGCCTCTTCTATTTAAATTTGCCTCAGCTATTTGAATTTGCCTCCCCTTTTTAAATTTGCCTCAGCTATTTGAATTTGCCTCCCCTATTTGAATTTGCCTCACCTATTTGAATTTGCCTTACCTAATTTTAGTTCCAGTTTATGCCCTTGTAAGCCTTGTTGAGGGCCTACACTTAATACTCAAGGTCAAAGACAAGTATTACTACAAGCCTTATGTTTGTTATGTTTTGGTAATTACTCATTTATTAGTTCAAAAAACAGGGTTAAGGATATAAAGATAAAACACGAGGCTCTTCAAATAGATGTAGTAAATAGTGCAAGAGCACAAAGAATGTTGTTACAGTGTTTGCCATTTTTGGCAAATTTTGTAACCCCTTCATTTAGCTGAGTTAGCATCTGTAATAAGATGATAGCCACACCCTTTTGATTTGAACCAATCAAATGCTTGCATTAGTAGGTGTGGTGATGAAATCAATATAATGCAAAAATGCTGCAATGAACATTTTGAAATATGGAATGAATTAAGTATTGATTTTACCTACTAATTAAAAAAGATTCAAATAAAATAATATTACTAAATCTACAATGACAATCTTTAATTTAATCATTTGTTGTTACAATTACATGTATGTACAAATGTATTATAATTATGTACAAATGTAGAACTATATTACTGATTCTGATATGATATGTTCGGTCACAATAACTTGAACAATTGATTTACTGGGGTATGTATGACCACTAAATTTCAAGAATGCAAATAGTGTTTTTTGGTTTGTTTATCATTAGAATCATGACAAAGACCTCGATTCTATGAGTTATAATGGCAAAGAGATATCACTCTACCTATTGCCAAAGACTTCAATCGCTCTGTGATTTCAGTCTTTTGTTGCTAAGAATTTGGCCCAAAAAGGCCAAGTAAAGCCAAAAAGGCCCACATTTGTGAGGCTTTACAAAAATTTAGGCAATTTTTTTTTCTTTGGCCCACCCATGCCCCCCCCCCTCCCAGATCCGCCAGTGTATATTAATTGCCTCATGAATAATAGAATCTCTATCTTTATTCCTTAAATGTAACATAAAAGTTGAATGATATTTATGTTTCAGCCAGGGATTTTGACTTGGATAAATCAGAGAAAATGTTCAGAAATGTAAGTAAAGTTTGGTGTTTTAAATTGTATTGTTATGCAGGGTTGACATAGAATCAGAATTGAAAAGTCCATTTCTTCATGTAAAATCAGATAGTCCAGATTGATAAGATTCCGTACCAGCCTTAATTTATGTATGGGTAAGCTAAAGAGTTATATTTTTGTGTTTTTGTTATCGTGTGTTTATTTAAGGATTGAAGCCTTGGACTCAGTGCATTGTGTGCTGAACCATTCCACGAAGATGTTGTTGCCAAATCTTTGCATGACCCCGCAGGGGGAATGCAAAGTTTAGGAAACAACATCTGAGTGGAATGAAGCAGCCACAATGCTTTGAGTCTTGGGCTTTATTCTTATCACACATTGCAAAATAGTTTCTATAAAATCACCTAAAAGATACAAAATCACTAAAAGAACATATTTTCAATGAAACTTTTTGCAAGGGTCAAGTATTGGAAACTCAATTTCAATCTCAATCGCTTAGCAACTGTACACAACAAATGCTTATTGATATTTCACACACATTTCATTATGTTAATACTCTGTTCAGATTGGCTGGAATCGGACACACCTTTCCTAGCTACAGGGTGTCCAGAAAGTAAAGATACAAATGCTCTAATTTCAATAGATTAAACTGTTGTGAGGTGAAATTGCTACAGATTGTAGAATGACATTATAATAATTTATCCTGCAACTGTCATGACAAATTGTTTCAAAATAAAATAGTTATGGTTGTTATGGTAACAGGAGTCACGGGTATGTGGAGCAGCGTCACAATTATGTTTTATAATTTTTTTCACCTGTTCATATCATCTTGACACTCCATCGTCTGTTGCTATTATACATCAGATTATGTACCACAACAGCAAGGGATTAGTACTGTAACATTATTTATTCATTTGACACTACTACTGTTATCCAGTATTATATATTTCTAAATATTCTTTGTGCATTTTGACCGGAGATTCAAAGACTTGACAAAGCCACTACCGTCAATCTCTAAGGTTACTGATAACAATGGCTTCCAGCGGAGTCTCATTTTTATGTTGAACTTCTAACAAATATTGCTTTAAACTATTCATTGATGAAGTCCAGTGGGCCATTATCAGGGAAATATGGGCCATTGTGCAAAAAGGTTTAATGTCAAGACATCCTATTATAAGATTTGTTTTCATTTGCTTCGTGAATTGGTGCATTGACTGAGGAGGGTGGACTGTTGACTTTTCTATTAATCCAGGGACCCCTTTTCTAAGCACTCATATACTTTTTCTATGATTATTCTATGATTATACTGGTGACATTACATAGTTCTGATATGTATCAATGATATCATTACACTAAAGAGAATACTATGGCAGCAAGAATACAATATCGAACAAAACAAAACATTGATAAAAATACAATAATAAACACTGTTTCAAATGGATATATTTTTGCAATTCATCATAATTTAGCGATATCCTGGAACTGCTCCGCATACCCCTCACCACTGTAACTATGACAACCGTAACTTTAACGCGTTTAGACTATATGTTATAAAAGTTGGTAGATGTATTATAATATAGTTCCTCTACAATCTGTAGCAATTTCATTACAAAAAACCAAGATCTATTAAAATTAGAGTATTTGTATCTTTACTTTCCGGACACCCTGTATGTGTGAATTCAATTTATAACAAATACTATACATCAAATATGAGAGTATTATCCACATTGTATTATAATACTCCCATAAGGGGGTCTTGTATATTTTAAAAAAAGAATGATATTCAAGTTGTTTACATTATATCCATGATATAAACCAAAGTGTTGCAAACTTTTTACATGATTATTTGTGTGCATAAAATGAGGTCAATGTTATGTTGATAACATACTACATTTACTGGCTGGTATCTCTTAGGCCCCTGATGTATACATTTATAGAATATTAATTTTGGATCATATCTCTGCACTTGAGGTGTTTAGGCTCATTTATCATTATCCCTTTAAATAGTTTTTACAGTACAACCTGTTAAATTGAATAACTATACTGCAGAAGTGGAACACTATTACCATAATATCTCCTCAAAAGTAATGCAAGTCTCTATACATTTTATGCCACGTTGGTGACATTATGTCGGGTTAACTGTTAAAATTCTGTTATTTGAAAAAAAAAATTAGAGGAAGGTAAATAGGGGTCAGTAGACAAAAAAATATGTTATGGTTGTGGTGAAATGCAAATTTTAATAGTGTGAATCATTCATAGAATGGATAAGAAAAATATTTCTTCAAGACACGTGAGAAGTCACTCTGTTTGGATAAGAACATGTGAAAAATCATTTATATGCCCTTTGCTTATGTTCAGGTACAATTTATTTGAATGCAACTGTTATTCACCTCATAAATTGCACTTCAATATTTTTTCAAACCTGTTATTGTGTACAGTAAAACTTCTAAAAATATGTTCCACTTGGGAGGTGTTCCACTCAGAGGTTAATTTATAATGATAATTGTGCGTATTTTCAGATATCCCGTCTACTGATAGATACCAGTTGGAAACATTTGACAATGCAAATGCTAGGCAAGAGAACATGGACATGCATTGTAAAATGTTTCCCACTGGAATCTATCAGTAGACAGGATATCTGAACGGGATATATGTTCCACTTGGGAGGTGTTCTAGTCTTAGAGATGAATTTTTCATTAAGTCAATTGGTCTTGAGATTCTAAAAAGTGTTCCACTAATTGAGTTGTTCCTCTTCTAGAGATGTTTCACTTAACAAGTCTCACTGTAATATACAAATGTTATTGTATTTTTGCATTTCATATTAGTCATTGTTGGATCAAATGATCATGGCATTAGATAGAGTAGAATAATTCAAGCTAATGTACCATCCAAAGGTTTTTTGGAGACCCCCAAATGTGGTGGCAGGTGATTTGACATGCAGTATTGTCCCGGGGGGGGGGGGTGACATAGTACTTATGGGAGTGGGAGCTTGTAATGTGTTATTCTGGTAATTGGAAATTTGACTATAATTAACCAGCTAGTATTGCTTCCAGGATAGGGAGATTGACTAACTTATTTGCTCCCTGAGTACGGATTTGACAGCTGAGGTGAAAAGTAGATTTAACCCTCTATAGTAAAATTTTAAATGTTTGTGACTACTTTGAATTTAAAAAATAAGCAATCAAATTACCAAATTGAAACAGTTTAAGTAAAAATAGAAACATTTATATTTATCCTAACTTTTGTATATTTTAGTTTGTTTTGTAGTTGAGCTATCATATCTGTGTCCTCTCATATTTTGATACTTCTCTGCCAGTTACTTTCGGAGAAAATTAACATGGCTGAGACTCCCTAAATTACATAAGGCCACAGCTTTGCTGCACATTATACATTACTATCTGAAATATACAAAATGATAAATATAAATGATTCTATTTTTACATAAACTGTTTCAATTTGGTAATTTGATTGCTTATTTTTTAAATTCAAAGTAGTCACAAACATTTAAAATTTTACTATACCTATAAGTTAATTGTATTTCAAAGGTGCACACTTTAATTGAATACTCTACTTTATTCCAATCTTGACCAATTGCTTTCAATTTTAGGATGTAAAATGGCGCAAGGACAACAAATGTGATACAATCCTAGATACATGGAAGCCACCAGAGGTGATTCAGAAATATTACACTGGGGGATTGGCCGGGTTTGACAAAGAAGGGTGCCCTGTGTGGATTGATCCCTATGGCCATATAGACATAAGAGGTATATTTGATTTAGAACATGATTTACGGTATTGGAATACTTTATCTAGTAAGCATTTCTTGTGTGAACACTTTCCCAAAGCTAAGAAAACTCTTTTGAACACTGTTATTTTTGGTTTCCTAATTTCATGAAAAAAGCTCTGTTTCTGAAATCTTTCCTATAATCAAGAAAACTCTCTCGTGAATACTTTTCTAAAGTTACAACACTTGGTTTTTGATTAATAGGGGAAATAAAAGACTAAAAAAACAACAATTTAAGGCTAAGAAAATTCTCACTTGTGTATACTTTCCTAAAGTTGAGAAAACCCTCTCAAGAGCAAAAGGAGCTATAGTGCAAAGATCTGTGCACCAATCACCTCTTGGCATTTGCCTGTTCCTTCATCTGTAATCTGTAATTTCAAGTTCTACTGATGAGTTGTTTTCCTTTAATTTAATGACACTATAGCAATCTACCCATTCGAGTTGGTCACCAAGACTCACAGCAGCTCCAACGGGACAGCAGCCCCATAAAATGCTAAATACCTGAATATTGTTCCTTTGACCTTGACTGATTCTTGAAGTGAACTTGTCCAAAACCCTTGAAATGCCAAGTACCTAGATATGACCTTGAGATGATCTTGGCTCATAAATATTAACTTTGACCTCAGGTTACGTAATCATGAGTCGCCTAAGTGTAAATACTCACATCTGATTGGTCAATTAGCGGTCAACCATTTTGCCTGTACCCAACCTTTGCATCATGGGATATGATCTTATTGACCACTCTTTGCTTTATCGGTATACAGTGTATACCTGTACTACACTTGTGAATTATGGGATATATAACGTCATCACGCTACAGAATAAAACATGTCAAACTGACGTTTTTATTAATTTTTCATATGGTAATCAATTTGAATCAATAATGAATCATTAATGTATTTAATTTTATTTACACTTTTTAATACATGCAGGCCTAACAAGATCAGTCAAATCCTCAGATGTTAAAAGATATGGTATTTATCTCGCTGAGACCATATTTTCCTATTTTGCGAGTCAGACTGAAAAGGTATACAAGAACTTATAGATAAGTGTTATAGATCAGGTTGCCCATGCATATGCAATAAGGACCACACCAAAGTGCCCCTCTTTACCTTAACTATCCAGGTATTGTTAAGTCTGCAAAAATTATTGTTACATTAGGCCTCTGGCTTCTACTTTGAGAAACCCACAATTCCATTATATTCAAATAAGGCAGGAAATTGAACAAAAGAAACTTCGGAAATTGCTCAAAAAATTCAGAACTTTTTTTTCATTTCTCCTGACCGCTAACATTGAGTTGATTAGAAATCCAGTTAGAAATGAATAACAGCTCGCTCTTACTCTCCCCTGATTGGAAACAGTAAATACTCAGGCGAAGAACAAAATTGATTTCATATGAACCACATAAAGCCAAATTTCTTGGAAACAAAAACCTCAATTCCTTCTCCCTCTTGCTCCTCCTCTTTTGCACCTCCCCTATCACTGGGCCCAGAAAACAATTGGGCTCTTAAAGAATTTTGGGAGAAAAAAGGCCTTTAAAAGACCCAAAAAGTGGGCCTTTTTGGTCATTACTGGGCCCCTCCCCTTGTTGGTTCCCAAATCTGCCCCTGCCTATGGCCCCTCCCCCACCTAGTAGTTGTAGATATTGAAACTATAGTTCATGATCATTATAATTAATTGATATTCTAATATATTATTTGCTAATTAATTCCTCTCCTTTGCTTACAGGCCTTATAAGGGCTGCCAAGAAATCCGACCTAATTAAGGCACAAATATACCGAGCGGAGTACATATTCAGCACCCATAAAACTCAATCAGAGAAGGTACTTGCTTTCTTTTTCAATGTCTGAATGCCTATGCAGTGAAATCTGTATATCTGAACACCTCTTTAATCAAAACATCTCATCTCTCAATTAGAACATTTTTTTGTCTAAAATTGTTCATCTCCCAAAAACCTTGGAATGTGAACACCTGCTAATCTGAACATTTTTGGTCATTTCCAGAGGTGTTCAGATAAGACTGGTTTTACTGTAGTTGGGCAGTCATGGAGAAAACTAGAACTACCCCTCCTCTTCCATCACAGGCATTGTAGTCCCTTCTATCATGAGTGTGTAAAAACTGAGTCCTTGCAAATAGATATAATAAAGCTTCCTTTGCTTTTCCATGTTTAGTAAAATTAGAAAACATCGCTTTTCAAGTTTTCTGCAAGTTATTATTATGATTTCTATTTGCTCATGGAATAATTGAATTTCGCAGGTGAAAGGCAGTTCTGCTAGAGTTACCTTAATCAAAATTCAAGATTCCAAAATCCATCGCAAAAATTCAATTTCTTTCTGCTTCTGTAGATATTGAAAACTGGGTGAAGAGAAAACCATTAATTAGGAAGTATAGACCGAAGAGCAGGGGTAATATTGTTGAAAACACCCGGCAGGGCTAGGCACAAACGTTTTCTGTACCCGAACAACTGAAGGGAGTGAGGGGTTCGAAAGCTTTTGTGCCTAGCCCTAAGCAATCTACGAGATGTTACACCTGCTCTGAGGTCTGTATTACGATTCGAACATGAAAACTCACCAAAATGTTTTGAATATTCATTATGGTCCGCCATTCCTACAGGCCACTATTATGACGTCACACACTACTCATATTACCAGGGGTATTATTCATGAATATAGCCCACGGAAATATTGAAATTGTTCACAGCTTATAGAAGGCGTGAATACAGTCATGTTCGAATATACTCATATATACCATTATAACAGTTGCTTATACTAAGTTTTGGAATTCTTCTCTAAAAATGTTCATAATTGTTGTTAATGATCATGATCTTTAGCTTTGAAATTTTTTAAAATATTTTATCAAACTTGGTGTATTTTAATTTTTACATCAGATATATATATATAAAGTACATGCATTTGGTCATAACCAGTCATATAATTCCGCCACGTAGAAATATTGTGGTTGGTCAAAGTTGCGATAGGCTGGCATGACAACAGCATCGTTGAAGTCTTCTTTATTGAAGACAAATATATTTAGTCTTGATGAATATGAATTTTAAATTAATCTTCCAATAACTCTGATGTTTTTAATTGTAGCTTGGAAAGACCATAGATCAAGTGACGCTTATCTTTGACTTGGATAAACTGGGGACCAAACATATGTACAGACCGGGTATGTAATGTGCCGTATAAAAAGACAGTGTGAAAACTCTATAGACAGTTCTTTTAAAAATATTGCCAGTTTTGTTGAATGAGGATTGATGGGTGGTCTAGCACTTCCCAAAATGGATCATGTAGCAGTATAGAATTTCAAAAGAGATTTTTGAGGGGACCCCTAACCCACACCTCATAAATAGTACAATCACACGAATAGTATGACATTGTTACCATGGTTACAAAGGTTGATTTAAGGATTTTTAACTTTATGACATTTCAGTTTGATTCTGAAATCATTTTAACTACCTAGAATGCCTATGGGGATTGGTAGTAGATATTTTGTGTATTTTTTTGATTATGAAGGAAATAAATAATATGTTAAAAAAAAATTCTGAAATGAGGTGTTTTATCTCATACAGGTGTTTTTTAATATGTGTTTGTTATCTTTAATAGGGTTGGATCTCCTCATTGAGGTGTTTGTTATGTTTGAAGACCACTATCCAGAAACTTTGAAATTTGCATACGTCATAAACGGTGAGTCAAAATGCCAAGAATTTTAATAAATGATCTTCACCAAAATATTGCATATTGTTTATTTATAGGTATTGACTTGCTGACGGAAGTTTTCGTCATGATGGAGCAACATTACCCAGAATCCCTAAAATTGGGAATCATAGTAAATCGTAAGAGGGGTTATTTTCTATGATAGGGCTTTCTATTCAATGTACAACCAAGCATGTGCCTGAATGTAAACGCTTCAGTCGGCTATTAGTCAGTTAGACACAATATGGTCCCATATTGCTTATATTTTTTAGAGTATAGCCTTTTGTTTTTGATTGTTACATAAAAGGTTTTACTCCATTGCGTTGTTTTGTACAATATACTCTTTCATATTTGAGTTTTTATAGTATCACCAAGAGATGATGACATATTGTTAAAGCTACCATTTTGTGATCAGCACTAGGTGGTCCATAGATCAGTTCTGTGCCAAATTGTTACATTTTTTTTTGTTTGTAACCATTTAAGATAACTTTCCATTTTGTGACATATGTTATATTGTTAATGCTTTGTTTTATAGAATTATCATTTGAGTATTGTATCTATAATTGTTTATTTTTAATATTTCAAGAACACCACACTACAAATACTTCAAAAAGTTATGTTAAGTAAGCTTATACAGGAATAGTAACCCTATGCTGAATCTTAACATGTATAATCCAGGACAATTTGTGTCAGCAAACTTGACACGCGCCTTGAGCTGGGCAGCCAATCAGATTCGAAGCCAGTTTTTATTGTTTCTTTTAGAAATCCAGAACTGTCATTTACGGAGTTTCTTTGGTCAAATAACCATACTGATAAACACGACCAATCAGATACCATAGGGAATACCCCTCTTTATTCAAGTTTCATATAATAAATTTCGACAAAAATAATTCGACCAATCAGCACAATCACAAAATTAGCACATATAGCGACAGATTTGGGACTTCTTTGTTGGTAAGAAGATAGGTTAATGTGTGATAGGGTTTGACATGCAAAAAAGTCCAGGGCCCCTTGATTGAGCTTTCCTATCGTCAGGTCTCTCTTTCATAAATTTGTCTTAACATTGGCGAGTAGTGTGCAGAAGATACAGCAGCATAACAAAAAAACATTTTGGATAGAGCTTTGTTTTTATTTCTGTCTAATTTAGAATATTTATTTTGATAGTGATTATATTTGTTAAAGATAACACACATGCTTGGTGGTAGCCTAGTTGGTATAATGATTGTAAAGTTAGTTGATTTTATTTCATTTGACTTCATGGTTGGCTTGGTGATCATTTGATGGGTATTCATTCAACAGCAATTCATCCTTTAACCAACATGCGTCTATTAAACCTTAAATAGCAATTATTCAGGATCACAGTACAATATTGCATGGAAAAATACATTCATATTTTAGGTGCAAAACATTTTTCTGTCACCAACATGAGTGGTGACATATTCTTATGGTCTTCAACTTTTTTGTGGATGGTGTTCGGCATATGGCAGTTGGTGTTTGGTGGTCGGTGTCTGGCATCTGTAACAGATGGCAGGTGGTGACATTTTGCATGTTAATGCCTTTTTAAATCTTGGATTGCTTGTGGTTTGTCTATGAAATGTGTGGCCTCTTTAGGTCTGATCCTTTGAAATAAGAGGGGGGAAAATCCCATGGTTCAGAGAAAACATATGTCTATAACCTAAATATGTACTGAGCATGGCTGAAACTTCTTAACCAAATTACAAAAAGCCCCAAGTTTACTGCACATAAAACTAATTTATCTGAAATAAACCAAAATTTTGCACTTAAAATATCAATGCATTTTTCTATAGAATACTGCACTGTGCTCATTTGATTGCTTATTTTCTAATTGAAGCACAAAACGTTTTATCAGGCACAAGGGTATGTACAGCTAATAGAAGACCCTCTTAAATAAGGCCCCATACACACATACATGTACTTCTCATTTTATTTTATTATTTGCAGCATTGTAGTAACATTTACATTTGCAGTTATATTTTATTTAAATATTATGTTTAGTAAATACTCTTTCTGAGATTAGCTACTTAAACTGTAAAAACCTGTTTGATTTACGCATGTAATTTTATAGGATTTTGTTGTTGCTGGGACATTCAATTTTCACTGTATGTTTTATTATGCAAAGTCATGTACACAATGTAATATATTATATACATCCCCTGGTATCACAACTGTTGATGCCTCTTTGCAAATTCACATTTAATGCTGGTGAAGATAATTGGGAATTACGACAATGATAAGATTAAGTGTTCTTATAAGATTTCAGTCAAAAGGCTAGATTTATGACCTCATATTCAACAGACAAGCAATTGCAATTGTGAGAAGTTTTTTAAATTTGGCAATAACCTTATCCTTTTTATGCCCTGAAACTATGAGATTAACAGCATAACCAATAGATGGCAGGATTTACTGGATTATTCAATAGATTAAAACATACATTATTTTATCGGGGTATTAGAGAGATTTTGCAACTCACTTATAGCATGTTTATTAATCCCGTATAAAGTTTAACTTATGAAGCGTTTGATTACGTCATCATCTATTGCACAGCTCAAAACGTCATCTTTAAGTGTGATATTCTTAAGTGTACATGTAGATGACGATTTATTGAAGAATATCACACTTATGGATATATTGAGCTGCACAATAAATGATGACGTAATCAAATGCTTCATGAGTTATATGTGATTCGGGAATAAGTGAGTTGCAAAATCTCTCTATTATTGCTCATGTCAATCGTGGCTTGAAAGTTGTCACAGTTAGAAAAATGCTTCAATGAATGTGTAATTTTATTGCTTTGTATAACCACGTTGTCCAATGCTCCCCGTGGAACCTTTTCCTCCATTTACTCAGACACACTTTGTTTTTCAGCACCCAGGCTTTTTCCAGTGGCATTCAGGCTGATAAAACCATTCCTAAGTGAACATACAAGAAACAGAATCCACATTCTAGGGGGTATGTTTTCATTATTTCTAGATTAGTTTAATCCACTGTAACCAACCCAATATTCATCATAAACATTGGTTAAGACTAGAATTAAAGGTCAAGGGGTGCCAATAGTGCAGTCAACATCCATGATCGGATCCATGTGTGAGTGTACCATTAATCTGACAAAGGTCTGATATCAAATGATGTAAACATTTGCAATGATTTTAATTAAAAATTGTGTAAATTTGGTGTGATTTGTCAAAGACAGGATGTATTAACTCCATTTAAGCTATAGATGTATTCTGATTTGTTACTGTTTAGCCGAAATCTGGATTGGTCCGAAAACTATTTTTATTGTCATTAATATTTTTGAGGAGAGTGTATGTCGCTATATAACTTCACATGTATGATTTATGTTGCTATGTGTAAATACACATATATTGTATGTTGCTAGGTAACTTCAAGAAAGAGTTGTTGAACCTGATGTCACCAGAGGAATTACCAGTTCATTGGGGAGGAGATAGGAAGGACAAAAATGGGGACCCTAAGTGCTCAACTGATGTAAGTCTGAAGGGGCATCACATTTTTTCGATTTTTTGACAGGTAACCTTGAAAATTGATGGATAATCTCTTGGATTCCATTACTAAACAATACAACACTTTCTTTTTCCTATGATGGTAATAAATGTAAAGCATTTTTAACATAACACATTTATCTCTTTCTTGAACAAACCATTGTGAAATAGAAAATATTCCAATTTCTTGTCACACTGATCTTGAATATTGTTTCAAAATGCCCAGGTTTGTTTCGGAAGCAGAATTCTGCTTACTCCTTGTAGTGTTCAGATAAAAATAATGTATGGCTCAATGAATTTGGGGTGATTTAATTTGAGCTACCACCCTCATCCAAAGCATTGATTCAAGACATTGTGCTTCAACCCATCCACAATTCATTGAACCCTGGACTTAAATCCTTTTATAGATCAGCTTTGGAGGTGACGTACCTGAAGAATGCTATCTCTCAGCATCCACAGTTTCTATAAGTGATGATTGGTTGGAACTGGATGTGGGGCGGGGATCCACTCAGAAACTGGAGTACGAAGTCAAGAAAGAGGGCTGCTTACTAAAGTAAGTTGATCCATATATTCAAACATGACTATGCTCCGTTTGAGCTTATCATCCAAGCTGATTTCTGCATAACTTGTGAACATTTCTGTTTTAATTTAATCACATTGTTGTATGGTCTTGATCAAAAAATGTTAGATTCATTGGATTAAAAATCATGAATTTAACATGAGTACTGATTTTATTTATATGTTTACTGCACTGTACTATAGGTGGGAGTTTATGACAGATGGTAGTGACATTGGCTTTGGTGTGTTCATGAAAACTGCCCCTGGCCCACAGAAGAGTGATGAGATGGAGGTTGTTGTCCCTAGCAACAGACTGAACAGCCATATTGTCCCTGAGGATGGCAACCTTGAATGTACCAAGACAGGCACCTGTAAGTAAATTTCACCCCTAAATTAATAAGTAAACTGATCCAAATTGATAGATTGGAATGGTCTATTCTGTCCAAAGGGGTGTCAACATGTTGTCTGCTTTTCTATTACAGATGTGATACGGTTTGACAACAGCTACAGTTATGTGAAGGCCAAGAAGGTGAAATACAATATTCAGGTCCTGGAAGCTGACACAATGTCTGATGTCAGCTTTCACTCTGCACAAGATGTCACTTTGATGTAGACCCACAACGCATTTGACATTGATGATGTCACAACTATCCTTGCCTTGTGATTAATCTTACATTTTAATAGGACATGAGCAGTCCGAACACAGAAAAAATTGAAGATACAAGATACAGTTTTTATATTTTATATGCCAAAATAAAACAAAATATGCTTATGCAGTACATAATATACACTGTGCAATGGAGATTGGTCATCATTGAGGAATATGGGTACCAAGAGAAGAATATTATGAGAAACTCTAAATTAAAATACATTGCATTGCTTGAAACCAAGACAACTAGATATCGGATCATTTTTCATGTGTGACCAGGATGATGCAAAAATAGTCATTTTAGGTTTGCTTATAACAAAAGTCAATATTTTAACTTTTCTTGAGGCAGATTTCATCGCAATATGTTATCCAATGCAACAGGAAATGAGAACAATATAGGACTTTTTTTCAAAATGCGATAAAAAGCAAGTAATGATCTGCCATCTAAAGCACTTATCAAGCTCATTGTATAAATGACAAAGACACTTGTCCCTATCACGTGACCACATTTAAAAAGGATACAGGTTACAGTGAAGTTGCAAATGAAGTGGGTATTCTCTATCATTGTTTATAGGGCTTTTCTTGTGACAATGCAAACTCCTCAATCTATACAATGTACATGCATAGTAGAACACTTGGAATATAATTATAGGATATCCTATGATTTTGAGGAATATCATTTTTATCTACGAGGTGATATTGATATCTACACCAAAGAGCGAAGCGAATGAGTGCATATATCAATATCACCGAGTAGATTAAAATGATATTCTGAAAAAAATCATAGGATGTTCTTATTATCCTACACTTACAAGGAGTGTACTAAATGTATACTATCATTGCAAAATGAATTCCATGCCAAATAGAGTCAATTTGGCGGGAAATCAACAAGCGGAGTATATCGTCACAATATCCTCCGCAAATTGGGTTTTCCGGAGTATATCGTCTCGATATCCTCCGCTCGGAGTATATCGTTACGATATCCTCCGGATATTCATTTTGCCAATAAATATCAAATTTATTTTTTAATGTTATTATACATTTAGTAGACTAAGTGTAGGATAATATCTAATATACCTTCAGAAATATGGAAATAAAGAAGCATCATCCATTTTCAAATTCATTGTAGCCTCTATCCCTTTTAAAGAAATACAGGCTATAGTATGGGGGTAGAATAGTGTGAAAGAATAGTCAAGAAATGACAAAAAATATTTGAAAAGTTGTTTAGATATGCAATATAGCTTTTTGAATTGATGATACCCGTGCTTTCATCTTGCCATTATATTTTAGTCATGTATCATAAATATTAAAATAATCAATGATTGTTAGCAATATTTAAAAAAATGTCTGCAATATTTTATTGTGAATTTTATGAACAATGTTGACCAATGCAATATTTTAAATTCAATTATTTAAAGACTGAGTCCATGTAATGGTGACATTACATTGGCCTGAGATTTAAAGGCAGCCTGATATAACAGTGTTATATCAGATAAAATGCAATACAATGCAATATCTCAGTCAAAAGTTAAAATGTTCTTACTAAGACTGATTACTTATTGTATATTTTTTATAATCTTGTAGATTTAGTCTGGGATCTCTTAATAAATTAGGAGTCCAGCAATATTATAATTATTTATAAAATTATAAATTAATATATAGTCAGTGCTTCATATATTAATAATTTAATGTTACACTTGTTTCATATATGAATAATTTAATGTTACAGTTAAAAAATGAGATTAAAATGCTTTTAGCAGCTTTGTATGTAATTTAAACAAGAAGTAGTAAAATATATGATATAAATTGTATATGTCTCAAGAAAGTCTGTTGTAAATAATAGAAGTACTCTATAGAGAGATATACATGTATAAAATTCACTCAAGGCCAAGGTAATTAATTGTTTGCCATTTGTATGTGCATATACATAATTTATGCAGCATTTATAGAAAATATACAGTGATTCCAACATATGTTGGTTTTTTGGTTAAAATTGTACATAGTCAGCCAATTTTTAGAATACAACGGAAATAAGATACCTTTTTGACCCATGTTTCTCAAGAGAAAAAATATTAAACATATAATTTGATTACTCTGGCCTAGAAGCTTATTATTCTGTGTTATCCATTGCTAAATGGGGCAATATCTGCTTTTTAACCCTTTGCAGTCTGAAGACCTCTTTAAATCACATGTTTTAATGGCAGATCACAGGTACAAATCCAATACAGTGGTCCAGACTGCTTAGGGTTAAAAATCAAAATAATTTTGAAATATTTGATGAATTGATTGTGATAACAATTGTAGACTGCAGTATATTGTACAGAATTGTACTTAGATCAGTATTATAATCATACCCTTATATTATCTTGGCTTTCCGCAGGGTATATACCATTTATGGCAAATGGCTATGAAATTGATTAATTGCGTTTGGAAAGTGGTGATATGTTGTTAAAGTCTCCAACCTATTTGTGGCTGGTGTTTGGCAGTTGGTATTCAGCAACTTTGACAGAGTCCGGCAGCCTATATCCCTTAACTTCAATGATTGAGAAGTAGTGGAAATGTTATTACATTTGATTTTAAAGTAAATCTTATTTTATATTATTGCTTTGCTTTTATAATATGAAGAAATACAGTAAAACCAGTGTAATGGGAATACGTGACCGATGAAGTGTTCTGCTTCATTTTGAATGATGTTTACACCTCTTAAGTGGAACGTTTATAGCTCAAAAACTGGTCCACTTGATTACGCTGGTTACCGAAAAACAGTTAACATCTGCACTTGTAACCCATACCGTTTATGTAACTTAAGTGAGGAATTAAATCAACGATTCTGTTGTCTTCTGAGCTATTTTTTCGCAAACATGTACATTTCCTCAAACATATGATACACGTTTGTGAGAAAAAAATGAACGAACCGTTTAGGTAACCAGAGTAATCGAGCGGATCACCAGTGTTTAGAGCTATAAACGTTCCACTTGAGAGGTGTTCCACTTTCAGCGATGTTCCACCTCATGTTTTACTGCATACCATAGTATACAATTCATGGAATTTAACGTTTGGATTTAATATAGTGTTTATAACTGTGATACAAATAAAATCAGTCATTAATAAAAAATAATGTTGATAAAAAAATATTCTTGTTTTCGTAAGGAGCTATTGTAAATATTGCTTGTTTACCATTCTAAGTACTATTTAAGGACACTTTTATAATAGAGACATGCAAGAAGGAATCTTAGGACACAATTATTGATCATAGAATTACTATCGCACTTCATAAATGCCACATGAATCATATCATCAAAAATCCTTGAAAACTGCATATCCATTCAACTTGAAATTTTCACAGATACAAAAGCAGACTGTTGCCAACATCTGATTTGGGTTTGGTCATGCTTGTTGCTGGGTAACTAACACAGCGGTCATTTTGCTCTTAAAAGTGCCATACTTATAACTTATGTCTTTTCAAAATTATAGTTTTTCTTTACAATCCCGGTGTAAAAGGGTAGGAGGTCCTATTAAATTATGATCCTACTCTCCATTGATTTATATGGTGACCTTAATACAACTCTCCCTCATTATCTTATACGCAATCAGGGCCAGTAAGGGCCGTTAAGAAAGGGGACCATAATCCCGGGGGACCATTATTTCTTTCACACCGGGAAAACTGTTTTATTCATTTCAGGTATGAAGAAGGAGGGAGGTAGAGTATAAAGGGTATAAACATTTAGTTCTATTTTGAGGACATTTATAGGATAGAAAGATGGATAAAATGCACACAGGTACAACGTGTAAATAAAATTAATATTCCGTGTATTATTCATTTCAAATATGTAGAAGGGGAAATGCAAAGTTACAATTGTAAGTGAAACATTGACGAGCCTTTTCAGGAATGTCAAAATTCACTAGAATTGGTCTTCAACGAACTGAGCGTAGAATCTGCAGCGCAGTTGGAATAACACTTACGCCTTAAAAGTACATAAAAATACTGTTAATTGTTAATTAAATAGTGTTGATGTTGACATTACAAGAAAAAACAATTGTTTTGTTTTGTTTTCCATTGCCAGTAAATTATAGTAATATGACACATATCAAACTTGCCTTAGCTCAACTCATTTAGAAATATACAATTGCGGAATTTTCACATAAAGTTGATCATATCAAGAACATCGTGTTTCTTCATTTGAAAAAGTAAAATAAATGAATAGTGAATACATATTTCTAAAATTGGATTAAATATTTGTGCATATAAATATATCATGTACCACGTGTAGCAAGTCAGAACAGGTTAGTGTATAAGGGATTCTTTCAACGTTTTCACATTGAAGCAGTATATAAGCAATATTCTTCATATGATTTCACTGAACTTCCTGAATTCACAATGGCTGAAAAGATTAGGCCTATACTATGTTTGGAAATATTTAATGACGTCGGTTTAAAAATCCTGCTCATATCTTGAAAGCAAGCGTCATTTTGGTCTCGGGATGAGAGTGTAATATGCGAAGCTAAAATGTGGAGCCTGAACTGTGATTGCCATTTTAAAAAAAATGAAGTTATGGGAGTTATATATTTTATTGTAAATAATGCTGACATAAATTTTAATTTTGCTGAAAACAAAAACATCTTGCTAAATACATTGATATTCTTTTAAAATCAATGCTTGTGTCACACAATGGAAGTCCCTTGGCAACCCCATCCCTTAAAAGGAAAGGTTGAAAATGCTTCATTTGACAAACGTATGTATTGAGTGTTTAGCCATCTTGACTTTTATTCTTACTGTTTGTCGTTCTCATTATAGGTTTTTGCATATTTGTACCACCATTGGTACCAACCTATGTATGAAACCCACCAGTTCGGGATAGATCTTTAATCGAAATTGACATTCTAAAAAAGCATTTATTGAAAAAGACTGAGTAACGATCTGAACATCATCGCAATAAAGACTCATTTGATAAACAACGTGTCAAAAGACGTTAACGTATACATAATATATTCAGAGAAACGTTCAAAGGCTGTACCACAAATGGAGGTATGGACATGGTCCAAACGATCAGTGAGACCAGATATAGTCATGCTGATTGTGGTGACAATAATAGCGACCATTACGATCGAGGCTGACGGATCTAAGCTACGAAGAAAGATTGGCTCCGTCAATGGTGCCAACAGTAAATTTGCAATAGGATTTCGCGAGTTTGAGACCGATGTCCCCATTGGGACCGGAAAACAGAAAAGGTCGAAAGAACAGGGGGATGAAGATGACGCCCCAAACAGAATGGAAAGACAAAATGATGTCGTGATTCCAGTTGGTCTTGGAATGAAGGTACTGAATATTTCAATTTCTTTTTTTGGGGGGGGGCATGTCATTAACCAGGTGTAAAAGGGTAGGTGGTCCTATTAAATTTTGGTCCTACTCTCTATTGATTTATATATGGTGATCTAATTACAATTATTTCCCTTATTATTCGTAGACAGTCAGGGCCAGTAAGAGCCGTAAGGAAAGGGGACCATAATCCCCAGGGGACCATCATTTCTTTTACACCGGTATGTTAAGCCCATACGACCATAACAACCAACATCGGCACGGGAGAGCTTTAAATAGATCGTGACATTAAATGATAAGATTGGCAAAGTGCTTGCTGTATGTCATTGCTATAATGGACAAGTTCATAATATGCACGAGAGAGGTCTTATTAAAATATGATTTCAACATCTTGTTTAGAATATTACATGACGAATGATAATGTTGTCGAAGAAGTAACTAAACAGATTCTAAAATTAGGGGTTTAAGCCCTACTGATAATTGATCATTCAGTTCAATGATTTGCTTTTATTTCAGTTCAAAATAAATGAAAACGCCGGATTAGCGGGAGGAGGCAAGGTGCCTACAATCCCCACCCCTCCTCTCACAAAGCCAACAACAAATAAACCAACTAGGCCTGTACCTCCCTTCCAGGGTGATACTCCATTTGGTAAAGCTAGCCTATTTATACGGATTTCTTCCTCTTTGACTCACCAAACGTTCACATTTAAAGGCAGAATCTGAACTATAGAGGGTGACAAAATTACAAGCAACATGTATAATTGACATACCAATCTATTCCTTACAATATCAAATACAACATCTCCCAAAAGGATTCACAATATGTTATAAATTGGTGAAGTTATTAATGATTCAAAGTGCAAAAATGAGTGAAAAATGTTGAAATTCTCCCAAATAATAAGAATGGTAACCATTCTTATGGAAAAATAATACATTATTGTAAAAATCTTTAGTTTTCCTGGAATAAAGTATGTACTTTTGTGATTTTTAGAAAATAGACATGACAAGAAATGACATGAGCCAAAAATATTCTAAAATTGAAACAATTTTTTGTTTAGCCTGCTCGCTATATCTGATTCTCTCTTTAAATATCACAATTTTTCAGATGTTTTAAACTAAATTCAGAAATGAAGTCCAAATGTAAAAATATACTCGTTTAGCCTTTTGCCCTGCCTACTAACTTTTGCCTTATCTTTTGATTTGTTTCAGAATCATGCGCAGATGTCGTACTTGCAGTGGATTTATCGTGTTCTGTGTCCTCAAGTAGTCGGGAAAGAGCCAAACATTTGGCGAGACTCCTCGCATCATCAATTAAAATTGCTCCAAACAGGGGCATCCAACTCGGCCTGATATCGTTTACAAATAACGCCCGTAATCACATCCGCTTCAACAAGGATGACTCACAAGGAAATATATTAAAGATGATCGAGGACTTAGATTTCGAAACGACAGCCCGGTCCTGCCGCACGCGCACCTGGAAGGCGTTAATAAATGCTGACATTATGTATTTTAGCGATGTAAGCGGTGTAGACAGAGATGACTCAATTCATGGAGATGTTTTGGTCATCATCGGTGATGGTTTAGGATCGCCGAAAAGGCAACAAAAAATGACAGTAAAATACGCTCAAAAAATGAAAGCGGATAATGTTGAAATCATATGGGTTGTCACTGAGTTGGCCAAAAGTAGTCACGTGTCTAAAGAAACTGAGATTGATTTGATTAGTACGGATGCGGACGACCTTGTTCTTAAAATGGAAGATGAGAGTACTGAGTCGATAGCGATACGTTTAGCCGAACATCTTGGGCGTTCATACCCATGCAAGACATAAGAACTGTCCTTTCAAAGAAACAAATTAGGATTTTACATTTTTAAGTGATCGTGTCTTTCCGCAGACACATTGGTAACGCTCCCCTTCAACAAAAATTGGCAATCTTGACTCCCCCATGGTATCGTGTTATCTTATGGATAAAAATGATATCCCTCAAAAAAGATATCCTCTGTGAAAACTATAATCCTATTTGAATTTGAACTGAAATTTAAACTTAGGTGACTGATATTTTTTCAAAATTGCCAAACATAAAGAGACTTTAAAATGTGGTCAATGGTCTTCCCAAACTTTTGGAGGGGTGTATAATAAATGTAGGCTACGCATCTCTGGGTGTGAGCTGTTGGCTATCATGACTCACATCTGTAACCATGTATAATGAACACCTGGCCATTCGGAACATCTCCCAATCTGAACACTTTTTTTGGTCCTGTTTTACCTCCCATTGACACCTACACTCCCCTCTATAAGTTTGGCAACTTTAGCTCCCCCATTGAACTACGTGTTAAAGCCTCTTTAAGTTTGATTTTTTATTTCATTAACCGGCGATGAAATACCTTATAATATCGATGGAAACTTGACTTGACTTTATTTCCAATACCTCCAAATTTTACCAATTTTTTCCTCGATTACAATAGGTCGAAAATTGATAATAAATTTGAAGAAACTTTTGAAAATCGTCATTCCCATGTAAACCAATGGTAAATGGTGGGTTCAGGACAAATCGGAAATTAGGATATCTATGAAGTAAAAGATTCATTACGAAATATTTTTATATATAAAATCGAATTGTCTAACTTTTTTGTACACTAAGTGTTTAGTTTACTTGATTAATACTTAAATTACAGAGCTTCAAAGTCATTTTTGAAAATCATTTTTCGCCTCCTGTGTTATTTCAATGGGAGAGTTTTTTTTTACTTTAAAGTCTTATTATATAGCTTTGTTGATCCTGAAGAAAGATATCAATTTTCTGTTAAATAAAGTTAGCAAATTCAATTGCCTACCTAACTTGTATTTTTTTACAAGGACTCGGAGTGATAGATATTCTGTTATATGACTTGCGGCAAACCTACCATTTCCCATTGGTTAACATGGGAATGTCAATTTTCAAAAATTCATCAAAATCATCAATTTTCGACCTATAATTGTAATTGAGGAAAAATTTAGAAAATTTGGAGATTGGAAGTAAAGTCAAATTATGTTTCCATCAATAGTATATATTAAGTATTTTCATCGCAGGATAAGTAAATAAAAATCCAAAGGTAAGGAGGCTTTAACACGTAGTTCAATGGGAGCTAAGGTTGTCAAACTTATGGAGGGGAGTGTATGTTAAAGAAACCTTGAAATGTGAACACCTCCCATTTTGACCAATGAACTTCATATTTTAAAATAAACCTATCTAATTTAAACACTTTTCATAAAATATCACAGTTTCATATTGACAAAATAGCCCAAATAGTTTCTTAAAATCACTGTTTCATTATGATGTCCAAACTTTTGGAAAACGTCTCAATCATAACGTGTCTTTCTAACAAGACTAATAAATCAATTTCAATCAGATTTTCAAACCATTGAATGAGGTCAATAGAAGTATAAATATTTATTGAGAATATGTTCATATTTCTTCAAAATCCAGAATCTCGGAGATGAAATGTAAATACGTAATCCGCATGATTTTAGCCGTCCCGAATGGCATTCGGATAAGCCAGGTTTCACCGTAAAATAATGTGCCCTGATTTTTTACAAGGTTGTGAAATATGATTTTTGAGGTCACACTATTCGTAATAATATTATCAATACAAATATGACACATCGTTTTTTCAATACTGTTCATAACTTTATGAATTGATTTGCGAAATAAGTCTAGATGTAATGCATATTTCATGTTAAATGGTAAATATTTACTAAACATCCTGAACATTGATCACGTTATATTTAGCAAATGATGTACGGAAAATAATGTGTCGTCTTTAATTTACGTATTGCAAAATAGTGATAATGGAACCTCAGCCGTGGAAAGATTTTTCGTAAAATAACTGTAGTCTGCTCAGAAAGCTCATGCAATACATCATTTTCCACTGTTGCAAGAGCCTACGGGTTCGAATCCCGGTTCAGACGATAATTTTGTATTTTATAAATGATTGACAGAGAAATCACCAACTGTGGTAAATGCCATCCCGGGTCAAATAATTTAGGTTTTTGCCACCCGCTCGGCGACCGAAACGAAAATTAATTTTTCTGGCCTCATGATGCAAATGCTAAAGGAGCATCTGATTTCAGTACTAGTCTTGTCATGATTTATACATTTAGGTCAACCTAGGGTTATCGCATGCGTACAATTCGCCCATGTATACAGTCGATATTCATAATCAGTTTATTAGAATTCACTCTATCTATTGACCACAAGGTCAGAGCAAGCATCGATCATTCTTTTCAACTAGATGAACTGGTGTAACTTTGAACTGTTCACGACTTGCTCTTTTGACCACACACTTCTAGCATGACATTTTGTTTGTAGATTATAATTGTACTTGTCTTTTGTGGATGGATTTTAGTGTTGCATCGGGTGTGTGATCCTCTTATTTCATGTAGAGGTAAGACACTGTTGGGAGGATGGTTACACAAGGGCTTAACGCAAGACTATCATATGAGTTTATATTATTTTATAGATTATGGTTGGTAATATCTACTTCAGAAGGAAGTTAAGCTACTCGTTTTTAAGAGAACTTGTGCACAAACGTGTAATATCATGACCCGATTATCAATTATTCCGACCTATACCTTTAAACTCAATTTGAGTCCAGAGACATCGATTGCCTCGGAGAAAATCTCGTAATTTAAATTATTACAAGTTTCGACCCAAATATTCCCATAAATCGAATTATTTCACCATGTCTTAATCCACCTAACCACGAATGAATCAGACGAATGCAGGTTGATTAATTAAAGTGATTGTTAACATTTAAAATAATAAATTAATCGAATATTACCTGCGATTATCGAAAATGATAAATGTGTATTAATTGTAATCTTTGATGTTCGTTGTTTTGGAACTATTGGTGTATGAACTTCAAATAATAGAGATCAAAGTTAGACGGCCATTATTGTCAATTGACTATATATCAAAACAAATGCACACAACACAACTGGTGAAATAGTCATCACATCACTCGAGTTATCATCAACTGCGATGTTCAGATCCGACAAACATGGGGTTCGCAATTTTGCAGCGTTTTTGGTTGCTATTGTATGTCTCGGGATTACTGTAACTGGCAGCGATGATTTCCAAAATCAGAGGGATAAACGTGGCTTTGGTTTTAACTCTCTTGAAGGAGACAGCACCCTAAAGAAGGTAACCTTGAAAGTGCAGTGGTATCACCATGGGCATTCAATCTATTGAAAGCCCATGGTATCACTCTAAAAGTGACAATGTTCATAGAGCTTCATAGCATCCTAAAGACGGTAACTTCGAAGTTGATATCACTCTTAAGAATATCATCTTAAAAGTGATAGCACTTTAAAAGTGACAATATTGGAGTTGATAGTACCTTGTTAAGAAGGTAACTAATCATACATCACTCTATATCGTGATATCACGCTAAAAGGTAATCATAAAGCGATAGCACTCCCAGGGAGGCAATATTGAATAGCCTTGAAGGTGATATTACGCTAAAAAGTATGAAGAATGATGCTAAAGTAAATAGCTTCATGAACTCCGATTACTCAGAATGAGGAACAGATCCTAATTGATCATTAAACACACGAAAATGCTTAAATTTAACAGGAATTTATGCATTTTAGGTCGGTATAGCCAAACCAAAACCAGGGGGTGGTCTTGGAGGGTTTGGTTTTTTGGTGTTCGGTAAACCAAGGCCTACTACCACTGAGGCGCCCAAAGTAAACAACAATGCCGATGAGCCAATTATTATTGGAGAGGGCTTTACCAAAGACGGTAGGTAACAAAATCGATGATTCGTTAACATCAAAATTATAATGCCATTTCATATTTGGGTGATCTTGCTCAAGCTGATCTTTTATTAATTTCAGAAATATGCTTTAATCTTGCCATTGCATTGGACATATCGTGCTCAGTGTCCTTAGATAGCAAGGGGTATGCTAAGAATCTCATCAAATCCATTCTGCGTGCGTTTCAATTAAACGCCGATAAAGGTGTACGGATAAACCTAGTGACGTTTGCTGATGAGGTCATTCAAACAATACACTTTGATCCGTCAAAAACAAAGGACGAGCTTTATTCAATCGTTGACGAATTGGTAATTGTGCCGTCGGTGTGTAGAACGAACACTTGGCAGGCCATAAAAGCAGTCAATGCGTTGTTTTTCAGCGACAGTTTGAATGAGAATGACGTCATTAGTCATGGTCCGAAGATCTTGATGATCATCGGAGATGGCCGAGGTTCACCGAAAAGTGAACAGGGATTAACGGAATCATATACAAAAAATCTCAGGGAAAATGATGTCACAATTATCTGGATAGAGACAGAACTGGACAGTAACAAAAGAAAAACACGTATTGAGACGGAGATTGACCTAATTATGGCAAAAGAGGCAGTACTTCATATGAATAAAGACAGTGACATTGCAGACAAACTAATTCATTATTTGGAAAGTGCTGGTCAATGTTGGATCAAATCGGCTCGTACACAACCTGATTTTAGTCGACCTGATTAGCCAATATTAAGTATATTTTTGTTGTAACGGATGACTCTTTGTAACACTGCCTCGTCTTTATTCATTTATTGTGACTGGAGGAGCTTATATTACTAAAGCGAACGGCATCAAAAGTCTACTTATTGATTAATGGCTGTGAAGAACAATCGTTTGATATTGGAATTAGACTGTCTTATTCTTCATTTCAGCTGGTTTGAGATAATGAGAAAAAAATTTGATAAACTTATGTTTAGTTGTTCCTAATTTGTTCATGTTCACCATCAGCAGGTTACACGGTTCAGTCAGATTCTAAATATTTCAACGCTGGATGTAACCAAATGTGTTTTGTGATTTGAGAGATATTAATCACTGTATGAAAGACAAAGTGCGGTAAACCTGAAGCTTTAACTTTTGTACTATTTATCACAAATGGGCTTGCAAAAGTGACACCCTCATTCAGTATTTGGTAGGATTAATCAAAAATGTAATTAAACACATCAAGGCGAGGAGAAAAGATATCTTCAATTCAATTCACCTAGAAAATGTCTCAATGGGCCCTATGTGAATCTCCGTACCATGCGATCGTTTAATCTGAATCGGAGAGTGACCGTTCTAGTGTTTATAACAAGTATATGGTCACCTATAATACTATCAAAATGAAATCAAATATCGCATGTTAAGACAGTTATATGACAAAAAATGAAAAATGCTCTGGTACACTAGAGGTTAAATGTAAGCTACATCATTTTTATAATATGACGATTGAAATATGTATTTAATAACAAATTCAATTTTTCAGTGTCACAAATTGTTGTTGTGGTACTTAACTATGAAAAAACTCCTTGTATGAAAAATGCTTTGACATAGATTACGAATTCATGATCTTGTGAAAGTGTGTTAACAGTGGTAACCTTTTAACAACGATGATTCATGAGCCTAAGGACTTCGCTTGTTAAAAGAGGATACAGTGGTCGTGGCTTAAACTACGGCCGTTTATATGGATATATGTCAGGTCAAGGATGATTTTTGAGAGACGTCGATATTAAGAGACCATAAGGTAAGAATATGTGTAAAGGTTTGACAAGATGGATTGACGAAATACCCTAATTGCGTTTCTAACGTGACGCCAGCTAACAAAATAAGCGCTGCAAAAAAAACAAAAAACAAAAACAAATACTGTGCATGATGTATAATATTTATTTTAATAAAATGCATATAATGTGTTGATGTACAGGGTATGGCGATTAATACATTTTCTATGTTAATACCCATTCGACTAAAAGAAAGCTGACAAAACAGTCTCGGACAAGGATAATTTAAAAGCAATTATTTAATTGAATCACCCTTTATTAAATGGATTACTTTTTAGGACTGTCGCCAAAATGAAGCTAAGGGAATTCTCCACGTTTGTATTTATACTGATTGCCCAAATGGGCTACGCAACTTGCTTCCTTCAGGGGATATTTGGTAACCTTCTATCCAGCAAGGAAGAGTTACCGATCTGTGAGGAAAATGCAAAGATATTAGGAGGGCAGGGAATGGCAGGTGGTTTTAAGCTGTGCCGTGACCCAGAGCCCGTGAACAATGACGAAGTTCCGAATGGCAAGCCTAGTAAGTCAATCAATACGTTAAGTTGCACTTTATTAGGGAGATTACGTTGTAAACGTTTTTTAGAGAACCTGTACGCGAGCGTGTAATATTTCAGCCCCCGGGGATTACTGTCCCGCTCTCAATTCACTTTCCATCACAATTATTTCCCGTATATCTTTATACTCAATCGGCCAAGTAACAGCACAAATGGGAGAACTAATTCACGTACACGTTTTTAAAATATACGTTTTTGTAACGTGTATCTTAACCTCTCTATTGGGAAAACTTGAACGTGAACGTGTAATATTATTAGATATAACTATTCCCCTCAAGTGGTTTATACAGGTACTATATCTATCAGCAACAATTTATGATATTCGATGTACTTCCTTACTCATTTGGGCGAGTAAAGGTCACGAAGGAGAAAGCAATACCAAGAGAACCATATTTTTACAAGTTCACGTTCAAGTTCTGCAAACCAATACTACTTCCCTAATGGAGGCATTGTCGTAGCTTGAAAGAGAATAAATGTCATGTATTACGTTTATGTTACCATGCCCTAAAATTATTAATCGTCCAGAAAGCAGATTAAGTATATCAATAAATGCAAAATGAAAATTTTTGATAAATCGGTTTTTTCTAGATTAATGTTTATTTCGCTCCCTTTTAATAAACGATATCACTGCATGTAAAGCAAAGAAGCAAATAAATTAGACTCTACATGGAACATCACAATTCACAATACAGTAGTATGCTTCAAATGTTTTTCTCTTTTTCAGGTAAAATCTGCTTAGACCTTGTCATTGCATTGGATGTATCATGCTCTGTTCCCGATGAAACTAAAGAAAAGGCGCTTAACTTGATAAAAGAAATCGTAGCTAGAATCGTGTCTGGCGCCGCGAAGGTCCACCTTGTGACGTATGCAAATATCATCCAATATTCATATCCGGATACTTCCCCGCCTTCGTTCTATAGTGGCGACACCCCGGATGATTTCCTCGCTGAAATAGAACGGTCTGATTTCTTAAAAGCTGGGAAATGCAAGACTAAAATTGCGAACGGATTTTCGCGGGCTAAGCAACTTTTTGATGACGTCACTCAAGATAGAAACGATTCTGATTACCCGGATGTACTGCTGATGATAGGGGATGGTCGAGGTTCCGAGAAGGATAGGAGAAAGGGAGCAAACATCGCGGGAGATCTAGCCTCCATGGGCTGTGAGATAGTATGGGTCGTGACGCCTCTCGAGGCGCGAAGAGACCCCAATAAATCAGATGAAGTGGAAGAAACGGCCGCAAACACTGATGTGATTTTCAGAATGAATGATTACAACGATACATACATCATTGCACAGAAATTGTTCACTCACTTTGAACAGAAATATATTTGTGAATGATTGAACGAAAGTAAATGTAACAATGATCAAGTATGCAGCCTTGATCCGAACAAAACATGAGAGGCAAATTTGAATATAAGCGAGGCAAAATATAATACAAGGGCCGGGTTTGTATAAAAAACCTCTTACCTCATACCCACCTACCCACCTACGTGGAACATGATACAGTCATTGGAGGGTTCAATTTTAAAGATTATTAAATCTCAAAATAGCTCAAATTAGTAACATTTCTAAATTCCGGCTTTATTTTATGACTAGACAGATGACAGATAAATAAAGGTATATGGATGCATTTTAATGTGTAATGACCCGAGGGCGCTCCATGGGAATAAATAACTAACGACCGCGAGCATAGGTCTAACAAACCAGATAATGAAATTGAAAGAAAGTGTGCTAAATTCGATGCCCTGAGTGGGAATCGAACCAAGCTGGGATGTAGTAGCAGCTTTCTATAAAGGGTCCTTTCAAATGCATCTATAATTCATCATAAATTAAGATTTAATAAACTAAGATCTTTAAAATTTTACCCTTCAAAGACTGTATCATGTCCCACGTACGTGGGTAGGTGGGTATGAGGTAGGAGGTTTTTTACACAAAGCCACAAGGGCCGATCCAGAAGTCCTGATAAAAATGCTCTAACTTAAAAGTTTATCATTTGTTTTGCACAATATTTTCAGAGTAACTGCTGGTTCATTAATTTTCTCATTAGTTATAAAAATATAGATGTTGGTAACAAATATTTTTGAAGTTATGGTTGCTATGGTAACCTAAATAACGCTAAATGGGGACAGGGTTTGCAAAGTTTAAAATTAGTTTTCTTTTGAATGAATGATCAAAACCCCATTACAAGGTTGCTTAATTCTTCAAATGGCTGTTTCAATAGTAACTGCTATTTATTTCCTATTCTCATGAGTATGAAATCATTGAAAATCGTGTATGATACAGAAAAGATTAACGCCTCATGATACAATAGACAAGACATGAGACACTAAGCTTTCTGTTCACCAAAGCAATGCGTAAAAAGTGACCGAACAGAGCCATAGATTCAAACATGTTTGACAAGGACAACATATGCTGACATCATGTCACAAATCTTGCATGGTCTACAGTATTATCAGCAACAAGTTAAATATGGAGGTATTTGGACAGAAGGTAATAGGACATTCTCAATATTCCCCAGCTTATGCTCCCCTTTGTTGTGCTTGGACTTTACACAAGCCCTAAATAGGGATCCGAGTGTCTCATATTTTAAAACATTTGTTGAAATCAAGAATACTGTCGACACCTGAGTGAGACTGCAAAATGTGAACAAACAGTGGGTGGATAGATACAAGAGAGTGTTAATGTAGTGTTTTAATGCACATTGTTTTAAGTGTTTATGTTGAACTTTATCTCAAATAGGATTTCACAGTTGGATTTACTTTTTCAGATTTTCAATATAAGTTAAGTAGGTCAATATGAGCATAAGTCTTGGAGCAATTGCAAGTGCCTCTAGCACGGGGTAGTAAAAGTGTGATTATAGAATTTATTGTTCGGATCAATTATTCTGAAAAGTCCATCCTGTATAGGCATATAAATGATGTAAACTGTGTAAACATTTGAGGTGATTACCTTTACTTAAGAAAAAGAGCGTTTTTATCAGAACTTCTGGATCGGCCTTTGTAACGCAATTATTTAGGCCTACATATTATTAATTATATAAATATCAGAATATAGGACATCATTTGTTAAAAGTTTCAGCGAGTTCGATAAAATATTATTGTATGTAAATAGTTTCTTTAGAATGTGGCCAGGTTGTCACTTCGTCTGTTTCATGCCTTCTAGTTCAGTTCAGTTACGCCCATAGAACGCAAGATTAAAGACGTCTATAATCAATATTAATTTAAAAGGGGGAATGAACGTTACGGAGTAAAAGACAAAATGACAACAAACTGTTCGAAATTAATAAATACAGATTATCAAATCATTTTGAGTAATCTCATTTTTATTGACGAGTTGATAAAATGATATACCTCAAAATGATAATAAACAATTCAAATTCGTTTATAAGACGTTGTAGAACGCACATAAAACATGAAAGGAAGTGTTTTAGTTTTTAGTTTTGATGAAAATAAAACCAGTCGAGCGATATCATTCATATTTATCTTTCTTCAAATAAAATCGATTAGTTAAATACCATATACTAGCTAGGAAACAAACATTTAAAAGATTTGACATCAGACTGTCGAACTAGGTATTTTTTATTGCTCGTTGCTTGATTTATTTTCTTTCGTACGTTTCTTCATTTTCAATACTTACAATCACATGCCATAGTTTAAAATCATGCAAGTGATAAAACAAGATTAATAATTATAGGTCCATTTATCATAATAGGGAGTTTAAGCTTGCATATAAAATCGAAACGCCAACCTGTACGTATGACCAATTGCCCATACACACGCATCGCTTAATTAGCATATATAGGTTGTCGAAAAATAGTGCGAGCTTAAACTCCCATAAAAACTCAATTCTGACCACATACTTATCGAACAATCCGAAATATCAGTTTTTGGGCTTATTTGGTGAATTGAGACAAAGTCTATAATTTGGAAATTGCTACAAAATATAGTGCCTCGGTCAAATTTGATCTACGGCAGCCGGCAACCGGCCGCCGTAATGCCTGGGTCACATAGCCGCCGGGCGCCGGCCGATGAGTAGTCATCGGCCGATTTATAAATCGACCGAGCGCCGGTGACTTTTCACCGATGTCTTGATCTAATCGTGAGTATGGTCACATTAGTACAGGCATCGTACGGCGCCCGCAATCAATTGAATCTGAAAGACATCGCACGGGTATCGCAAGGCTATCGGCCGATGGCCGTACGGGACCCGCCAGGACATCGGTCGATTTACAGGCCTCTAGATTTATACTTAATCCCTGTATGACCCAGTATGACTGTTCCACATGGCGTGAATGCAACATTTGAAAACGAAATACTTTGATAAACAGGACTTCCAGGATAATAATGTTTTCATGCAATAAAAATCAGAAAAAGAAGATCCTCTTTTGAGTAAATAGGTTCAATATTTAGAAAAAATGTTGACATGGGGTCCCTATTCATCATTTTTCGAATTGTTTGATTGATATTTTTATCATTATGGGTACTTCAATTGAAAGAAAACATATTGTTTTAATAAAAACACTCTATTTGTGCCCAGAAGGTACTCATGGTGAAAGATATGACCGTCTAAAATCACTTACCATACTGGACGTGGTCTTTTCATCAAAGTGCACCCTGACCTTAATTCATTTTTAGATCTTTCATATAAAAAAATATTATGTCTACCTGTCCATCCGATGCTATTAGCAAAATTCCCTATTTCTCCATCTTTCTTTCGTCTGTTCTTGTAAAGAGAATTAGTTTGGTCATAAAAATATGGCTTCAAAGAAATTGGCATATTTCTTCTGTTTCAAGTGGAGTACCCGCTTCCCTATAGACACATCTAAATCTTCATCATCCACCAGCTCAGTAGCATTGTTATTGTCTTTTCCACCTGTCTTCCCAAGGCCTTCCTCATATATGGCCCATTGGCCTTATCCCCTCTATCCTTAGCCTTTGGCATATTACGTTGTAATTGAGACGTAATTAATCGTAGTAAAATTGTGACCCTTGAAATTACTGTACTCAGAAAAACATTCCGAAGGTTTTTAAAATAAATGATTTGTAATGGTATATGCATGAGTGAATATACGCATAAAAATGTAACACTCTATTCAATGTGTATGACAGACATACACGATTAATGTCAATATAAGAACGACTAGATCAACCCACCCACCCAGCCATTCAAATGTGTGCCATTGTTTTATATACAGTAAGCTTAATCGTTCCATTTATGTTTTATAAAAATCTCTGACAGTGTGTAGTAATTATAATTCCTTACTAGTGGGGGGAATTTGCTGGAAAATATTTCAATTGGTGATACAAGCAAATTTAATGGCTTAATCTGTTATTTATGTTATTAGGAAAAATTCCATCCCTGTGATCAATAAAACCGAACACTATTTCGAGAAAAATTCAAGATGGCCGCCATATAGGCATAATTTGGTACAAATAACACTCTAGATTCATATATAGAGATAGATATGGTTTAAAATAATATTGGAACAGGAGCAAAGCATGTTGTTTACATCTAGAAATACAGTCACATTCATTAATGATTTGAATTTGGACAAAATGATTTTATATAGGGATTCTACAAGGTTCTATTTTGGGAGGGCTCTTATTTTTCAACAACTGAAGTCTGTATTTGTAAGTCCTGACTTTTTACATCTCTTATTATGCTATTAGAAAAAATTCCATCCGTGTGATCTATAAATCGAACACTATTTTAAGAAAAATCCAAAATGGCGGCCATATATGCATAATTTGGTACAAATAACACTATAGATTCATATATAGAGATAAATGTGGTTTAAAAATAATACTGTTTCAGTAGTAAAGCATGTTGTTTACATCTAGAAATACAGACACATTCATTAATGATTTGAATTTGGACAAAATTACTTTATATAGGGATTTTACAAGGTTCTATTTTGGGAGGGCTCTTATTTTGCAACAATTGAAGTGAATGAACCTGTTTTCTTGAATAAGATAATATTTCACACATCTTTTCAATCTAATATTTCAAGTTCAAGTTAAATTATTGTCTTACAAGTATAAAATAGCCTTTAAAGGAGTTCCACATGGTTCCTTTTTACTCTGTTATAATCACAATCTCATATATACTGTCATAAAATGTTAATGACTTTGCATGTGCAATTGCACAAGTCTGTATTTGTAAGTCCTGACTTTTTACATCTGTTATTATGCTATTAGGAAAAATTCCATCCCTGTGATCGATAAAACCGAACAGTATTTTAAGAAAAATTCAAAATGGCCGCCATATACGCATAATTTGGTACAAATAACACTGTAGATTCATATATAGAGATAAATGTGGTTTAAAAATAATACTGTTTCAGTAGTAAAGCATGTTGTTTACATCTAGTGTTTTGGGAGGGCTCTTATTTTGCAACAACTTAAGTGAATGAACCTGTTTTCTTGAATAAAGATAATATTTCAAACATAATTTTATCTTATATTTCAGGTTCAAATTAAATTATTGTCTTCCAAATACAAAATAGCCTTTGAAGGAGTTCCACATGGATCTTTTTTACTCTGTTATAATTTCAATCTCATAAATACTGTCACAAAATGTAAGTCCTGGCTTTTTACAAGTGCATACAGAACATAGCTTTTTATATGAACATTGTACAAGAGCTTGGCAGGCTTTGGAGGACTGTGTCTGGGTTGTCCACAGTGGGGTAACAGTTTCATTATTGTCCCATCCCCAGTTGATGTAGTCATAAAGGCCAGGTGGTGAAGCATTTAGCATTTGTCCCCAAACTACACCAGCCTGGTAAGCTGTTCCTTTAATGTGCTATTCCAAGGCATGTGAGTAGGTGGAATTCTCTCAATTGGTCTTTCTTTTTTAGCAAAATAAGCACTTTCTGGGTGTATTTTATCAATTGTTTCACTTGTTCTGTATATGGAAAACACCCACATATGAGTTGGGCTGTTGCCCTAGTACATGTAGTTGTTGCAGATGTGTCATGTTTGCAAAATGTTAGAATAGATTTTTTACCATATTTTATATTCATTTTTGTTTATTCTTAAAAAACCATCCATGGCCTTAGCCAAAATTAATTGTTCATTAAATATTATTTAGAAATTGTGATAATTTAGTAATTCAAAATAATTGTAGAATATTGGAAGATTTAATTTCTAATTAGCAAATTCCTACCCAAATTTTAAATTATCTTCCCTCCAATCGTTCCCTTCCTCTTTACTGAGGAGTCATAACATACCACATATTTGATTTTCACAATTAAAGGACACGGTGTCCAACACAAACGCTCTTACATGCAAGATTGAGCGTTTCATTACTGAAACTAAACAAAGAAACGCTCTGGAGTATGGCGAACGGAAATGATGAGTCATCTGACAATTTCCCCAATGATGGGAATAAGAAGTATGTGTTACTTATTTCAAGTATACCATTTGATGGGTGTGATATATTGTACTTGGATGGCTGTTGACGTTTGAAGCAATTAGGAAGAACTGTCTTAAGCAGTATAGTTATCTAAATTCATAAACGTATTTGTCATTCTTCCGGTCAAAACCCTGTTTGTCGAGACATGCGACTAGTTGAGTTGAGCATCAGAGTATATTTTGGTCAAATTCCAAACCTTGATCACACCATACATTATCGTCATCGTGATTTGATAACAAAAAATCAAGTCTTAAAAATGATGACATTCTCATATTCAAGAAATGCTGCGATCTGGTTAACACAGTGAACTGGAAACACTGCGGTGCTAGGCTCAACTTTCCTTTTCAAGGAGAGAAAGAAAAGATCTACTGTATCCTTTGGCATCAAAAGAAGAAAGATTAATTCACATATAAACTTTTTGTTCAATAGTTTTATGTTTTAGAGCAAATTTCATATAAATACTAATTTAATTCGTAATTTGTGGTCAATTCGTCAACTTCAGATTTGTTTGATCTACACTACGGAGCTTTGATCAGGGTATTGTTCATCGAATGGTACATAATATGTCACCATAACGCGTGATATGTAAGAGAAACTAGTGAAACAATACTTACAGTCATAGTGGGATCTTCATTAGCCCGGTTTCCGCATGGATGAAACATTCCGTTGTGCATGTAAGAGCGTTTGGGTTGGACACCGTGAAAGAATGCATAAGATATATTTATGGGATGAATTAATATTTTACATTTAATCAAAATTCTACAAATAATGGTAGATTTTTGTTAGATTTAAATTTTGCAAATTCTTACTCAAATTTCACATCACCTTCCTGCTTGGTATTTCATTCCTCCTTACTGAAGACTCATGGAAAACCACATATTTCATATTCATACTCAATAATGCATAGAATACATTGATGGACTGTATTAATGTTTTTAACCTCAACCAAAATTTAATGAATGATTGAATTTGCTTTTAGTGGTCCTGATGTCGCTGTAATAGTCTGTAATTGTGAATGCATGGTAAATGTCTGTACTCGATAAACCGTTTATTTGTGAAAATCCTTCAATTCTTTAGGCTACGGTCATTTATACAAACTAATTTGATATGTAGCAGAGCATAGAAATCTAAAATTTAAGAACAGTCTTACTAATTATGTTTAATTCATAGGAGTAGGGTTATACAAACTTATAAATGAACAAAATAAGAGGGGGGCCAGAAATGATCCTTGCTTAACTCCCATATAATTATTTATTTTGACTTAAGCTCACGACACGTATTATGTGGTGTCCCTATTAGTGCATTTAGTCCTGAAAACACAATTTAAACTTTACATTTCAGCTGTATTTGCCAAATCAGAGCTAAATATATTTTCAGAGCTATAGTGTGTCGGCCATCTTGGATTTTGGGGGGAAAAAGTAAAAAAATCCATTGATCACAGGGACAGATTTTTTTTAAAAGGTTTGAAGTAGTAGAAAAGCAAAACTTTATGCTTGTATCACGATCTGAAATATTCTGCCAAATATAGGGGTAAATTCCCCCCACTATACCTCATTATTTTTAAAACCTTTATATCACTTTATAAGTAATCATTATTAAGATTTATCCAACAAATCAGCACGCAAAATCCAAATATGACCGTGCGATGCCACCGGGCGCCGTAAGATAATCGTACGATGATCGGGCGGGACACGGCCGGGTAGGTACCGATGAGTTTGGTTGAGAAAAAATCGCCAAGACATCGGCAACTTTTATCTCCGCGATAAAACTCTGCCGGCGCCCGTACGATGTCTAAAAATCGGCCGATGAGTGGCGATCATCGCCCGGCGCCCGTACGATGCCCGGGCTCGCCGGCCGATTTTGAACAAAATACTCATCGGCCGGGCGCCGCAGTGAAAATCGGAGCCTATGTGACCAAGGCATAAGGCAAATGCGACCGAGGCTTAACCCAAAAAGACAAACCTCGTAAACCACGTGAATGATATTGACTATTCTCAATAATTGTTCATTTATAAATCACACTTCAAAACGCCAACTTTAACCTTGGTAAAAAATTCTTGTACAACCGCAGAGAGCTGGGGACTGAATTTACATTTCGAGACAACTCAACTGATCTGTTCCAATGCCCCGAGGCGGTCCTGGAAACCAAACTGATGTTGGAGGACGGGCGCAAAAAATTCAAACTAGAACAAAGATTTGGGTCCAATATTTGAATTGAAAAATTAGGCCCAAAATTAAGACATTTAGTCCAGTAATTTCAATTGTTATTCCTCTCATATCTCATGCCCAGTTTATGTGGATGGGCGAGTATGTGAGGGGGGATGCCCGCCATGTACATGTATCATCAACAATTTCTATTTTTTTTAAATCATTTTATTTAGCCTAGGGTTTACAGTTTACACTATTATATCCCATAGGGGTCTACATATAAAATTTTGAGATGTCATGCAATAGGTTAGACAGTTTTATATATGGTTATAAAAATCTCTGAGTGTCTCTGATGAATGTCTAGACATTATTAAATAGAGTGGAGTTGTCAATGAATGAAGAATCTTTGTTTCCATGAATTATACAATTGAGAAGATTATGTCTATTGGTTGTGGCTATGTTCCCTAATTCCCTGAGAAGAGTAGTTCTTTGGGCAACATAGAGGGGACAGTCAAGAAAATAATGAAGTGGTGTCTCTTGTGCGAAACCACAAGCACAGTGTTTGAAGTCTATGAGGTTGTAAGAGAAACGTTGATGGTTTAAGGCACTGAGACCCATTCGGATTCTCCCATGATTAATTGCAGATTTGCTGGCTTTTAATGAGTAAAGTTTATTTTTGCTTTTACAAATAGAATTAAGTTTATATTTAAATAGAGGGAGATAACCAATGTTCCTAAAATGTTGTTCCAGGTTGTTCCATATTCTAATGGCATTCGGAAGAAACGACTTGTAATTAGCTTAATGTTAAGTCTACAGAAGGGTATATTGAAAGAGTTTTGGTTTCTTAAGCTATATCTGGTCTGCTTTTGGGAGAGAGGGGTTAAGAGGTCAGTCAAATAAAGCGGGGCATTTTGATAAACCATTTTATGGAAAGTGGTGGTAATATGTAATTGTCTTCTGGTTTTGAGTGAGTCCCAGCCAAGTTCATTCAAAATATCATTATATTTAGTATGTCTATACTCTATAGGCATGTGAACATAATATAGCAGCTTCTCTTTGGATGTTTTTTAATGATTTACTTTGGAATAAATGTCAATTGTTATAAAGGACGTCACCATATTCAATTACTGATCGAACCATTGAAAAGTATAATGTTTCTAGTTCATTTTGATTTAAGTTGTATTTAAATGAGCTCCTTTTGAGGAGGCCAAGTCTCATATTTGCTTTCTTAGTTATATTGTTGATATGAAGATACCAGCTCATATTTGATTGTATTGTAAGTCCTAAATGGGTGTGGTGATCAACTGTTTGAATTACAGAGTTGTTCAACTTTATATCAGGATAATTTAATTTATTTTGTTTAAGTGAGATTATCAGAAGTTTTGACTTGGCAGCATTAAAAGTAACTTTCCATCTTTCTGCCCATTGTTCTATTTGGTCTATATCATGTTGCATTTTAACTGAGCTAAGTATTGGGTCGTTTACCACTTCAAGTAGAGAGGTGTCATCAGCGAAAAGGTTTATGTCGGTATCTTTATTTTCAACAATGTCATTGATGTAAAACAGAAATAGGAGAGGTCCGAGTATTGAGCCTTGAGGGACACCTGCTTCAATGTAGCGCCAGTCAGAATGAACACCGTTTATGACAACTCTCTGTTTGCGGTCGGAAAGATAGCTTTTCAACCATTTTAGAAGTTGACCAGAAATTCCATATGATTCTAACTTGTAAATTAAACCAGTATGCCAGACCCTATCAAGTGCCTTGGAAATATCTAAAAAGATTATCATAATTTCATTTCGATCATCCAAGCCTTTGTAAATTTTGTTAACTAAGTTTATCAGTTGATCAATTTCTATTCGTAAATAAACTTGATTGAAATCGGGATCGTCTAGACTCTTGGATGCATAGAAGGAGTGTTGTCCGCGCACGGGAGCCTTTCATACTCAGGTAAGCGTTTGGCTACATAGGCGTTCATGTGAGTCCGTGAGGCCATAGGCTGTAACCATGGGCTCGAAATATAGAAAATGTTAACGCTCTTCCAGGGCGTTACCAGTTGACATCATCAAGCATAAGCCCCATGTTTGACAAACTAATAGATTGTAATAATTAGGTAAGGCCCCGGGGGTAAGGCACTTAAAGGAACACAAGAAACAAAAATAAATCCCCGGGAGTTTTTTTAAATCTGTACTAAACGAAATGAATCAACAAAATGGCGGAAGAAAATGCAAAAATCAAAATTTAAATTTGGACACAATTTTGAGTATTATACCCGATTAGGACACATAATGTGCAACAAGTATGAATCGATTATCATCTATCAGTATCATTTTATTAATACATCAACTAATCTTGCAGGTATCTAGTTTAGGTAAGTCGAAAATTATGAATCATTAGATTCTATTTTTGTTTTCTGAATTCACATTTTTTCATTCAAAATATTTTCATTCATTTTTTCAAACACAAATGTGCGGCTTATCTTATCATATTGTCGTGTAAAGTTTAAAGTATGTGAATCGTAAATCTTGCATGACTTTTGTTTTGCTAATAAATAGGTCATATATCATTCATTTACTGGTATTCAGTCAGTTGTCAATGTAAACAAACTCTTGAATTAGATCCACGAGTAGGCCTAGACAACATAAGATCTACTTACAGTTAACTCGAGGACCTCACTGGAAAATGAGGGTACACAGTTTAGATTTTCGTGTATTTTGGTTCCGTAGGACCCGTAGTTTTATTTTCTCTGTCAGCGATATGGCAAAGGAGCAAGCACATAGTAATGACCCGAGGGTTACTTCTGTCCAAAGCCTTCTCTATATTCCGGCTTTGAGTAGAAAGATTGAGCTGCCTTGGTATTGTGAATATTGTAATCATTGTGTCACACGCACAGTAAATACGGCATAATAATATGAAATATACCTCTATGTATAGATTTGAGAAACATCAGCACACATCTCCGTCTGAATCTATTGTTTTATTTGATTTTTTTAAGCGAGGATAATATTCAAAGTTTCCTCCATTATTCACGTTCGGAACCGGAAGCCATTTTTAGCTACAGCGAGAAAATTTCACCATGTGTCGAACTCCGAAAAGAAATTTTGAAATATCTAAATCCAGACAAGCAACGCTTCATCCTAAATATAATTAATATTCTTAAAAATATTTATAAAATTTATTAAAAATGATTTCTAGGTGCGTGTAGCAATTTTTACATACGAAATACGAGTACATACGAAATCAATGAAGTTACATCTAGCTGTAAGCTAGACTCGAGTAACCCGAGGGCACCCCAAGGGAATGACTAACTAGGGTGAAGGGGTATAACGTTGATGCCATTACATTTCAATTTGGGGTAACTTTGATGTTTGGGGTAACTTCGACACCTTGCTGTTTATTTGCCCTACCCCTACATGTACATGTAGTATGTATCCAAACTGACTAGAAGTCAGTCTGTTATGATATACTACTGTCCTGTGGAAATTGCAGTGGATTTTTTGCACAAAATTATCAATTAGAGGAACTATTTCTTCAATAAAATAAACTTTGCAAAAATTCAACTAAGAAGTAAGATACAATTAAATGCAATAAAAGGTAACACAGCATATTGTCAAGTGGAAATAAAGCTAGTTGAAGAAACAATTGTGCAAATTAATTTTACCCAATCGGCCATTTTGAATAGCACTTCCTATATGAACAAATATTTTGAGTTTTGAGGGTAATTTGCTCAAATAACCGATATAGGACGAAGCCATGTTTTTCTTGGATGGATCGAGATCTAATGCGATTTTAATTTTTTTCAAAATCAAACATGGCGAAAAACGGGAATTATAATTTCTAACAAGTAAGTGTCAAAGTTACCCTATTTCTCATGTCGACATTACCCCACATATCTACGTTACTGCACTTTGTCGTCATAGTGCAACAAGCCGCCAGATACAGAAAATGAAAGAAAGTTACGTTAAATTCAATCATGGGCTTAGTTGAAAGCCCATGATTCAATGCCTCATGTGGGAATTGAACGAAGGACCCTTATAGATTCAAAGACTAGGGCTCTACCAACTTTGCTATAAAAGCTTAACCTTCACGGAAATTATCCATAACATTTACCCAAATTTATAACCAGGTCTTTCATAGACAATCCTAAGATCCCAAATATATTTTACCCCTCTCAGTGAGCAAAGACATAATCAAAACTTTCAACTTATACTATCATGCCAGACTTTCCATTTTAGCCAAATATGCTGCCTCAGAATCATTTAAAACTTTTAGTTTGATTAATTCTGCAATGCCCTTATCAGCAATTGATAGGCTTTTCTTTTATCATATTGCAAATTGAAGAAGAATTGATAAGTTGAAGAATTGATAGGTGATAAAAATAGGTAATTACTTTCTAGTAGACATTTTTAACATAGTGCCAATGGTGATTTAGTTGGATGTTTTTTCAGTAAACTTGAAAATCCTGGGAATTGGAAACTTAGAAAACTGTAGAAATCAAAGTCTTGGACTAGAAAATTATGAGAATTCAAATAGGTTGTAAATGGACATAATTTAAGTCATTAATGGTTATGAAAGCAGATCTCGTAGAATGTTATTAAAATGAGATTTCAATTTGATTTCAAAGGTATATTGCAAAGCTTGTATTGATTTATTATTGATAAAACTTTGATTTTCAGGCAATGGCTTAGTGTATATAGACTCTGTGGATGGTGATGGAGTAGGAGTCAACAATAATGGCTCTTACACTGTAACAATAAACGCACCAAATGGTGTTGTCAAGGTTTCCATTGTGGCACTTGATAGTGATTCTGTCAGTCAACCAATCCTAGGAACAGTGAGTTTTGAAAAAATATTACTGATTAATACACTAAAGAAAGTTATCAAGAATTTTGTAGTGTTTGTTTTAAAAATGTACACTGTTTTAAATAAGATTCATTTCTATTGTATAATTGTAGGTCAGACTATTATTAAGCTAACACTACTGACCGTTCCTCCTTTGTATTATTATCCCATCGAACGAAGTTCGGAGGGATATAGGGAACGCCTCCGTCCGTCCGTCCGTCCGTCCGTCTGTCCGTCCGTCCGTCCGGGCAATAACTCAAATACCGTTGGCCCGATTTTGTTCATATTTTGTACACATATACCCTATGGGGGTAGAAGTTCTGCTAGAAAGTCGATTTTCAAAATGGCCGCTCATTTAAAAATGGCGGCCATTTTAGTGCCGATTTTACAGTAATTTAGTTGCAATAAGTAAAACTGTAATAGCATTATGTTTTAAATGTAAAATAATGATATAGGACATTGATAAAGCTAGAAATGTAGATATTAAAGAAGCACATGGCAGCCATCTTGAAAAATGGTGGCCTTTACTCGTTATTTTACGATTTTTGCTGTAACTCAAGAAGTAGTGGAGCGATTTTGTTCATATTTGGTATGAGAAAACCATAAGCATGGCTCACTGTCTAATGACACTTTTGGTAGGAAGCAGCCATTTTGAAAAATGGCCACCATTTTGAAAAATGGCCGCCATTTTAACATATTTTACTATAACTCAAAAAGTAGTGGAGCGATTTTGTTCATATTTGGTTTGTGAATACTATAAGCATGGCACACTGTCTAATGACACTTTCGGTAGAAGGCGGCCATTTTGAGAAATGGCCGCCATTTTAACATATTTTACTATAACTCAAAAAGTAGTGGAGCGATTTTGTTCATATTTGGTTTGTGAATACTATAAGCATGGCACACTGTCTAATGACACTTTCGGTAGAAGGCAGCCATTTTGAAAATGGCCGCCATTTTAACATATTTTACTATAACTCAAAAAGTAGTGGAGCAATTTTGTTCATATTTGGTTTGTGAATACTATAAGCATGGCACACTGTCTAATGACACTTTGGGTAGAAGGTGGCCATTTTGAAAAATGGCCGCCATATTAACGTATTTGACTATAACTCGAAAAGTAGTGGAGCGATTTTGTTCATATTTGGTATGTGAATAATATAAGCATGGCACACTGTCTAATAACACTTTTGGTTGAAGGTGGCCATTTTAAAAAATGGCCACCATTTTAACGTATTTTACTGTAACTCGAAAAGTGGGGGAGCGATATTGTTCATATTTGGTATGTGAATACTATAAGCACGGCACACTGTCTAATGACACTTTTGGTAGAAGGCGGCCATTTGTGAATATGTGAATACTAAAAAAAAGCATATTACTTCTTCTGATGACAACTTGGCTAGTGAGCAACCATTTTGAAAATGGTGGCCTTTCTTATGTGTGTTATTTCATGATATTTGCTATATATTTCGTTTGTAAAAATGCCAGCCATTTCTGTTCGATGGGATTCGCTACGCTTTGGCGTTGCCGTTGTTCTGGTTGTATTGTTCATTGTTTTATTGTAGGTAAGAGTATCATGTGAGCTAACACCACAGACTACTGGGTACAGCAACACCTCCTTTGTACTATATATGGTTCATTGTAGGGGAGGGTATCATGTGAGCAAGCACCACAGCAGTGCCTCCTTTGTACTATTATATTGTTTCATTGTAGGTGAGGGTATCATGTGAGCTAGCACCACAGACTGCTGGGTACAGCAGCACCTCCTTTACTCCAATCATCCTTTCAAATGCAGCAAGACAGGGGGACGTCAATTTTGTGTAAGTACTCTTGATTAAGCTAAGAGCTAAGACCACAGACTGCTAGGTACAGCAGCACCTCCTTTGCTCCAATCATCTTTTCAAATGTAGCAAGACAGGGGGACGTCACTTTTGTGGAAGTACTCTTGAGTGAAGATTATTATGCAGAGATAGGCCAGCATTGAAGCAACTAAATACTTTGTCAATCGGAAATATCAATGTACTGTCTGACTGAATTTCCTCGTGCTAAAAATGAGTACCAATGCAAGAAAGGTTTTTATGCTGACTAGACTCCAATCGGGAGTAGTATGCAAAGTGTAAGAATACTGTTCTGTGTTAAACCAGGTTTAATGGTTATTTAGCTGAAATACTCTATCACTATACCCCAAACGTATTCAAGAAAATTGTTTTAATTACAGGGGAAATAATGCTGGTCGAATGACATCATTACAGTGCTGGGGTGAATCTGTCAGTCCCACAGGAGACCCTCAATTCACCAAATCACACTCTACCAGTCTACCAGTGTAAGTTATCAAACACCAATAATGAGTTAATATTATATGTGAAAAAGAACTCTGAATAAATGATAGCATACATGTTGTTTGTTCAATTCAAAGCGAATCACATATTACTAAACATAACCATTTTAAACTTCCATGGCCTTAGAAAAAATTCAAAATGGGTTAAGTCTTTATAATTTTTTCTTCTTTTTTTTAAATCTTAGAGGTAAACATATCCTAATACATAATTCTGTGTATTTTTGTATTAATAATATAAAATAAATAAAAAAAATTCTGTTTAAATTCAGTCATTAATATTCACACATTATCATAATTCACTTTCGAACACATTTTACAAGTATTGATTAATATTCACACATTAATCTTTCAGGGAATTTACCATACTACCAGCAGGCACTGTTAACTTCTGTAGTGCGATTATCACTGTACCTAAAGAGTTTGCCCTGTTTCAATCAACCTTCACTCTTGAATTCAGGTGAGGATTTAAAAACTTACAAGATAATTTTTAGCCCAACTAAGGGCAAACTTCAACATGCCATGGGTGGTTTCAGATATAAACAATTCATTATGTTCAAATTGTACTTTATGCTGCAATTAGATTAAAATGTGACAGTTTTCTGGAGCGCATTTAAAGAATTAGATAAAAATATCAGAAATCAAGAAGTTTTACTCATGGCATTCCACAGTAAAAAGTGGCATATAGGTCGAGTGAAAACATCCTGGAAAGAACATTACACAAAGAATGCATTTTATTTACAGAGAATACTTTTCAAGTAATATTTGATTTCCTAAAGGCTTTTATTCAATAAACCATGATTATGATGATATATTTCAGTGTTTTTTCTTTATTCCTGTTAATACATTCAAATATACAAAACATAGATCTAACTTTGGCAATTAGAAACATTGGTGACGTTTTTTATGCAAAAATACAATGAAAATACAATAAAAATATATTTCAGTGAGGAAGTGAGAGGTAATAACGTCACTGTGAACTGTACAGTGCAAACCTCTAACATAACAGACCAGCTGAACATAACCATACCTTCATACCAAGCTAATGTAGGAGTCTCTACAGTGCAGGTAGATATTCATATACCAGGTCTTATTTAGGATAGTAGAAAGATTTTAATTTTCAACAATTACCATAGACCATATTTAGAACTTCTCTACATCAATTAAAAATAATCTTTGTATTTTCCTTTCTTTAAAAAAATTCTGTCATTGAGCGCCTTGAGATCTGTAATGATACATATAACAGTACTAATTGGAAAATATAAATACTGTTAAACCTCCAAAGTGGAACACTATTTTGTTTGATACCAAACAAGGGTATTACAAAGGTTAAACTGATTTGTGTTTTACAGTCACTTTGAGTTTATCATGTCACCACAAAAAAGTGGTGACATATTGTTATGGTCTCTGTTTTTATGTCTTATGTCACCACCAAAAGTGGTGACATATTGTTATGGTCTCCGTTTTTTTGCGACGGCGTCCGGCGGTTGGAGGTTGGCGTCCGGCGGTTGGCGTCCGGCGTCTGTAACAATTTCTTACAACTTCCTATAACTTAACAAATACTGTTTAGACTGACTTCAATTTTTTTCTAAATCATCTACATGTTCTCAGAAGTTCAAATCTGACTTTAGATTTGACATTTGACCTTCAATGACCTTCTCAAGGTCAAAAAGGTCTTTTTTCAACTTGCTTCACATTGACTAAATTTTTTTTCAAAATCATCTACATGTTCTCAGAAATTCAAATCTGACTTTAGATTTGTCTCTAGATTTGACATTTGACCTTCAAACCTGACTTTAGATTTGACATTTGACCTTCAATGACCTTCTCAAGGTCAAAAAAGGTCAAAAAGGTCTGTTTTCAACTTGCTTCAAATTGACTAAATTTTTTTTTCAAAATCATCTACATGTTCTCAGAAATTCAAATCTGACTTAAGATTTGACTTAAGATTTGACATTTGACCTTCAATGACCTTCTCAAGGTCAAAAAGGTCTGTTTTCAACTTGCTTCAAATTGACTAAAAATTTTTTTCAAAATCATCTACGTGTTCTCAGGAATTCAAATCTGACTTTAGATTTGACTTATTATTTGACATTTGACCTTCAATGACCTTCTCAAAGTCAAAAAAGGTCAAAAAGGTCTTTTTTCAACTTGCTTCAAGTTGACTAAATTTTTTTTTCAAAATCATCTACATGTTCTCAGAAATTCAAATCTGACTTTAGATTTGACATTTGACCTTCAATGACCTTCTCAATGTCAAAAAAGGTCAAAAAGGTATTATTTCATCTTGCTTCAAATTGACTAAATTTTTTTTCAAAATCATCTACATGTTTTCAGAAATTCAAATATGACTTTAGATTTGACTTTAGATTCGACATTTGACCTTCAATGACCTTCTCAAGGTCAAAAAAGGTCAAAAAGGTCTTTTTTCAACTTGCTTCAAATTGACTAATTTTTTTTTCAAAATCATCTACATGTTCTCAGAAATTCAAATCTGACTTTAGATTTGACATTTGACCTTTAATGACCTTCTCAAGGTCATAAAAGATCTGTTTTTAACTTGCTTCAAATTGACCAAATTTTTTTTTCAAAATCATCTACATCTTTTCAGAAGTTCAAATTTGACTTTACAAGTTCTCAGAAGTTCAAATCTGACTTTAGATTTGACCTTTGACCTTCAATGACCTTCTCAAGGTCAAAAAGGTCTTTTTTCAACTTGCTTCAAATTGACTAATTTTTTTTTCAAAATCATCTACATGTTCTCAGAAGTTCAAATCTGACTTTAGATTTGACCTTCAATTACCTTTTCAAGGTCAAAAATGTCTTTTTTCAACTTGCTTCAAATTTACTTAATTTTTTTTCAAAATCATCTACATGTTCTCAGAAGTTCAAATCTGACTTTACATTTGACCTTCAATGACCTTCTCAATGTCAAAAAAAGTCAAAGAGGTATGTTTTCAACTTGCTTCAAATTGACGAATTTTTTTTTCAAAATCATCTACATGTTCTAAGAAGTTCAAATCAAACCTTCTTAAGGTCAAAAGGTATTTTCCAACTTGCTTTAAATTGACCAAATTGTTTTAGGTGGTGACATTTTGTCATGTTAATGCCTTGTTTGTTTTGGCGATCGATGGTTGGCAATCAGCGGTTAGCAATCGACGTCTGTAACAAATGGTGGTGACATTTTGCATGTTAATGTCTTGTTTACTATATTGTACATTCTTGCTATATTTTTTCAATTTTTGAATATTTCCAGATGCAATACACCATAGAAGAGCATGGTAGTCCAACCTCAGTGAAATGCACAGCTTTATCAGACAATAATGGAAGACAATTCCTCGCTGATAATTCTGCAGGTATGTATATGTACATCCCAAGTTCCAATCATTGCATTCTTTGACAGTCTCAAGTCTGAAAACCAGAAGAGAACATAAAGTTCAAAGCAAAGAGGAAGGATTGAGGAACTTTAAAAAATCATCTTGGACTACATTTCATAAAACTCAGTGCATCCTTCACATCAGATATCCTTGGCAGCTTCGTATCAAGGTATTGTATCTAAATGTTGCCAGCTGTGTAACGAATTCTGTTAAACATGTTGATCACTTGTCATTTAATTCTCTTTCACTTGAAAATTATAATTTTCAGTCATTAAATCATTTATTCTTCCCCTTATGAAATTAACTGTTTTCCTTAATTGTTGGTAAATTTGACTATATTGGACCCAGACATTTTGTTACTCATCACATCTTTCAGTTTCACTACACGCATGCTGAGAAGCCTGCAGGTTTTCACCATTCCAAGCGCTTTTTAGGGGATTTTGGCCCATAGTTGTCAAATCTGAACCCCCCCTGGAATTTTTTGAAAAGTGAACCTCCTTTAGTAAAAACTGGCTACTGGCCTGCCATTGACCTATTGTTGATCTGCTTCTTAGGTGACCCTGCAATGTTTGTGCCATTGACCTATTGTTGATCTACTTCTTTGGTGACCCTGCAATGTTTGTGTCATTGACCTATTGTTGATCTACTTCTTAGGTGACCCTGCAATGTTTGTGCCAATGACCTATTGTTGATCTACTTCTTTGGTGACCCTGCAATGTTTGTGTCATTGACCTTTTGTTGATCTACTTCTTAGGTGACCCTGCAATGTTTGTGCCAATGACCTATTGTTGATCAACTTCTTAGGTGACCCTGCAATGTTTGTGTCATTGACCTATTGTTGATCTACTTCTTAGGTGACCCTGCAATGTTTGTGTCATTGACCTATTGTTGATCTACTTCTTAGGTGACCCTGCAATGTTTGTGCCATTGACCCATTGTTGATCTACTTCTAAGGTGACCCTGCAATGTTTGTGCCATTGACCTATTGTTGATCTACTTCTTAGGTGACCCTGCAATGTTTGTGCCATTGACCTATTGTTGATCAACTTCTAAGGTGACCCTGCAATGTTTGTGCCATTGACCTATTGTTGATCTACTTCTTAGGTGACCCTGCAATGTTTGTGCCATTGACCTATTGTTGATCTACTTCTTAGGTGACCCTGCAATGTTTGTGCCAATGACCTATTGTTGATCTACTTCTTTGGTGACCCTGCAATGTTTGTGTCATTGACCTTTTGTTGATCTACTTCTTAGGTGACCCTGCAATGTTTGTGCCAATGACCTATTGTTGATCTACTTCTTTGGTGACCCTGCAATGTTTGTGCCAATGACCTATTGTTGATCTACTTCTTTGGTGACCCTGCAATGTTTGTGTCATTGACCTATTGTTGATCTACTTCTTAGGTGACCCTGCAATGTTTGTGCCATTGACCTATTGTTGATCAACTTCTTAGGTGACCCTGCAATGTTTGTGCCATTGACCTATTGTTGATCTACTTCTTAGGTGACCCTGCAATGTTTGTGCCATTGACCTATTGTTGATCAACTTCTTAGGTGACCCTGCAATGTTTGTGCCATTGACCTATTGTTGATCTACTTCTAAGGTGACCCTGCAATGTTTGTGCCATTGACCTATTGTTGATCTACTTCTTAGGTGACCCTGCAATGTTTGTGTCAGCAGAGGGGGCGGTCAACCTTTACCCACAGGTCACACAGGCACAGACCACCATTTTAAAGGTATGTTGTAATTTCTTTGCATCGGGTCTCTTGACTTCCTGTCAACTTTAACTCATTGAGGTGAGGTGTAAGGATAGACAAGAGGATGAGATCACAGAGTTAAAAACAATTTGTTGTGTGAATTTGAATTCAAGTCCATCCCTAGCTACGAGTCTTGATATATATTTCAATAACATAGGGTTTATTCTTAAGGGTAAAGCCAATGGTTAGTAACGTAGTAGTACTTTATATACTTCAACCAATGGTGAAAAGCATTTGCAATGAGTCATATCTTCAAGGAAACACTTTTTAACATTTAACAATTTTTGCCAGCATAAACAGTTTTCCATATCCCTGAAAATTTCACACTGATTTAAAAATGAGAGCATTTGTATCAGTATTTATTGAACAACCCTCAAATATCAGTTTCACTATATTTTTCATGTTTAGGCATTTTTGGTGTTGGAAAACCCTGTAGTTGAGACAGAAGTTAACTTTATATGTCAGCTAACTATGGTAAATGATACTACAGAAGCTCTGGACATCGCTCTCAACCCATTATGTGTTACGCCCAAGACAGACCGTGTTACAGCAAGTAAGAATTTTGTGTATAAATTGTCAAAAGTCAGAATTTTGATTTTTTAATGAATCCATTTTTACGCTTATGTACATTTATATATTTCTTCATTAGATGTGTAAAACCTATTTTGTAACTCATTTCAAATTGATATTTCTGTGCTTGAAAAATTTTTTGATTTTTGAATACAAAATTGTGTTATTATTATTGTATCTGCAACTGACTCCATTTTCCAATCAAATAAGTAATGTTCCACATAAGGACTTATTTTCCTCAATTTAAATTTGCTTTTTAAGTTTATTTCTAACTTTTATAATTTGCGTAACAAAGGCATGGCTATTGATGTTGTTCACATGCATATATATTTTATGTTACATATAATTTACAATGAGGAGTTTATGGATGTAACTATTTTGCTATAATACACAACATCACATACTTGTAATGATTGATAATACAGACAATGTCAACAGATGGAAAATATTATGTTTGGGAGGGGGGAAGAGAATTATATTTTGTTAAACATACAAGTGCATTAAACGTTACTTTTAATGAGAAAAAAATCAATTAATGTTTCAATACATTTTTGAGAGAAAGCAGGGTTCAATTTGAAATTCAAATAATTAGCAGGGATTATTGACTTGTTTCTTGAGATAATTATGTATAAGTGTCTTGCCATTTACTTGAATTTCATCTACATAATGGTTGAAACTACATATATATTAGGTTATTTTGTGTACTGGAAAATAGTTAACATATTATTTCTCTTACATTTTATTCTTAAGTAGCTCCAACAGAGAATTTACATGTTCATAACAGCCGAAACTAACCTTAATATTATATTAGCTTGTTGTCTAATGTATGCTTTATTTGAAAAGAATCGCATGGTGGTGCATTGCAAGGATAACCACATTGCAAGGATAAACCACATTGCAAGGATAAACCATATTGCAAGGAAACCCCACAAACATCCACGAAATGACACCCAAAACTCACATGTTCATAATCCATTCAAAATACTAATACGGTATTCTGCATAAGATGCATGTAGTTCTCTGATAAATGTCATGCATTTCATGGAATGCGTCAATTTCAGCTCTGCCCCCTATAGTTAGTAGCAGCAGCTCTAACGCTACAACAGCTACAGCTACAGCTATAACAACAGCTACAGCGGGTAAAAGGCACAACACCAAAATTCCAATGTTTAATTAATAAATTTAGCCCTGTTTTATTCTAATCCAAAGCCATTTTACTCGTGGTGGTAGTATCATAATCAAAAGGATACTACCATCAGGCATCACCTTCATATTTTCAATAGAAAAAAGTCAGACTCACAGGGGTTTCACTAGCATTTACAACAGGCTAAATATGAAAACTACTGTAAAATTAATAGAAATCATAAATTTAACATGGAAAAGTTGATAAGTCCCTAAAAACAACAGGCAGTTTTGTGAAAACAGCCAGTGAAAATCGCCTGTTACCTGCTGCTAATGAAACCCCTGGACTCATGAGTTTCCTGGACTGATTTTGGTGAGGCAATTGGCTCTATTGCCTCATGCATTTGCCTGGCTTCACCATTAATATGTCAAATAACAATCATGGATAAGAACAGGGCTAGCAATATGGCACAATCTAAATGGTCTGCACATAGATTAAACATTTAACCCCCCCATACACATGTATTAATGTGTCAAATAACAATCATGGATAACAACAGGGCTAGCAATATGGCACAATCTAAATGGTCTGCACAGAGATTAAACATTTAACCCCCATACACATGTATTAATGTGTCAAATAACAATCATGGATAACAACAGGGCTAGCAATATGGCACAATCTAAATGGTCTGCACATAGATTAAACATCTAACCCCCCATACACATGTATTAATGTGTCAAATAACAATCATGAATAACAACAGGGCTAGCAATATGGCACAATCTAAATGGTCTGCACATAGATTAAACATCTAACCCCCATACACATGTATTTCACACAAATTGATAGCTTGTTAATTACACAGGGAAATGTAGTTGGAGTTCATGGTGTTTCATATTTGACCTTTCTGCATGACCTTGACCTAACCCTATACAGCCGATCACACTTCAATACCTATATTTTGACATTTGAACTTTATGATGACCTTGAACTCTTCATATAACCTTGACCTACAATAGCCTCCATAGGACTCCAAGGAGATTGGCTCCCATGGACGCCATTTGATATTCTAGTCCATATATGGGTATCACATAGTCATGTTGTGAATTCAAAATTCAATCAAGAATATCAACCATTCTACTTGAAGCTATAGAAATATACAGTCACGAATAGCAATATCGCATCACGTTGGAGACTAAAGAATATCGAGTTGAAACCTTGGCTTCCTATCCTCCTTGACAGTACTCTTGGTGTATACCATTATACTGACATTTGATCTTTTAGATGATCTTTACTCATTACATTGACCCATCTGGGGAAACTCAAGTTGCCAACATACAAACTTATTGACCTTCGAGGAGTTAGGTGACCTTGAACTTTGTTAATGTGACTAAGACCTAATATAGACCTTTACAATTGGTTTCTATGGACGTTTAATTTGTTATTTCCATATATTATATCCATTTTCGCCCTCATGTAAAGGTATATCTTTTCTAAGAAGTTCATCCCAATGATCAATTTAATCTAGCTTTGCCCAAGTCGCTCTCTTTTACTTATTTTGATTTCATTCAAGATCAGATAAGTAAAAAATACCGACTTGGGCAAGGCTAAATTTAATCAATCAATTGCATTTTTGTCAGTATGCACAGAAAATCTTAGCCAGTTAAATTTTAGTTGCATCTGTCACGTTTTGTGTAATGATAGTTTCACGATTGCTTTGCTTTCACTGTTGTTCAGCACATTTTGTTTTCAGCACATTTTGTTTTTAGCACATTTTGTTTTTAACACATGCATGCAACAATATATTTTATATATGCATGCTTAAAACACATGTATTATGATGTGCAATTCTTTTTAATATATTTCTCATTTATGTATAAGTTTGAATAATTTACATATTATTGATATCTTCATAAATTGATGATGCAAATGATATATCCACCAGTACAACATGAATGTAAAAGTAGTATGTCTCAGGTATATTTTGAGTATTGGTTAAAATCATATACTTTTGAGGCTTATTAGTAAATGACAAAGAACCCCCCCCCCATGCAAGAGTCCTTACATCATCCATTTACAGCGGTATAGTTTGAAACAAAAATAATTGAGGCATTCAAATAGGTGAAGCAAAACATGCTAAAGAGCATATTATGATTTTACTCCTATGTAGGAAATAGTTTATTACAGTTTCAGGAAAAAAACAGAAAAAAAATTTCTTTGTAATTTTTTTGCCAGGTAGATGCCCACCTTTTGAATAGATCCAACCATCTATGATGTCTTGACTTTTGCATTTAGATAATGAATGAGTATTAGGTGCCTGATAGTGACTGATAAATACCTCTTGTAGGTCTTCCAACTGGAACCACAAGTTCTCCCATAGGGAATTCAACCCAAATACCATACAGCTGGGCTCTTAAAAAGACTGAAATCAAGTTCAAGGTTAGTTTGACATCAAAGTCTTCGAATTTTACTTTCTGCTATTGGGGCTGCTTTATTATGTCACCAAAGTGGTGACATATTGCTACAGTTTCCATGAGGATGGTGTTCTGCATATGGTGTTAGGTGATCAGGATTTGGGGGTTGGTGTCCATCACAAATGGCAAATGATGACATTTTACATGTTAATGCCTTGTATATCATTATTGTAACCATTTTTAAGTGTGATCAATTAGTTTCACAATAAGTCTCCTTACGAATAAGCAACTGAACTTGTTAAACAACCTAAATGATTTTATTTCTTTTCATTTGTTTATTTCCCCAAAATATGATAAAATACCTGTAGATTTGGGAGACATGCTGTTCAGGTCATATTATTCACACAACTGATAATATTTTCTTGTTATTGATATTTTTCTAAAACTTTGGCAATCAATTGCATGTCTATTATTGTTAACTAAAGGAATTTTATGTATAAAAAAATATTTTTCTATGTTTGCTTGTATCTCCAGCCTGAGACGCGTGACTTGTTTCATACGATTGAGATAGAGAGGAGTGACGTCCCTGAAGAATGGACTCGTGAGCTTGTAGTTGTCACATGTTGTGCCCCATCTGATAGCAACAATCACCCTAGATACACAAATGTCTCTACAGCTCTGTTGTTAGTGGCTTACATGGATCCTGTGCTACCTGTCAACTGGACGAATGCACCTTGTAAGTTTTAGAGGGGATATGGCCATAGGGGCCATTTAATTTTTCTACCCTTGTCTCCATGCATTTTTACAAAATGTTGCTTACATGTTACATAAATTATGTATTGCTCAAGGATTCTAGCTTCACACTAATTTTCCTTCTGTATCTGAGTTGATTTCTTTCATATGTTAATATTTCAGATGTTACTGGTGTATCTGGTGAGAGTGTAGTGCCAAACCCAGCCTGGGTGAGAGTCTCCCCCTGTCCTTGTGACATCACAGTGTCCCTGTGTGACATAGGCTGCTGTTGTGACCAGGTAGGGAACAATCTCCCAGCTTTATTCAACATGATCGTTGCTCCTTCTTTACCTCTGCAGACACTGATTTGCTGGGTAATTCCAGACGCTTCACTAAGTATGTTTTTCAAAAGTTGCTCTAAGTCCATTGTGGGATTGCAGTATCCACTATCCCTTGGAGTGCAGCCTCTCAAGCATTAGATAAAAAAGGTCAAATGAGAATGCGCAAAAATTTGATGAAATGAATGAAGATGAAGATTGAATATCTGAATTTTAAAATAGTAATGCAATTTTGTTTTATTAAACATCATCGTCATGATGCTATGCTACAATACATTCAAGATGGTGGTGAGGGTTGGAAGGTCAATTAAGTGGACAAGTCGCATCATCAGTACAAAATAGTAATGCAGTTTCCTCCTTAACCTGAATCAAGTCTCAGTCCCAGTGCCATTTCATAATATATGTATGGTACCATGATTTCAGAGCGCAGATTGGTGTGTGAGGACCTCCTTACTAATGTTATGAAAAACTATAATGTATTAAAAAACAATACCCTATAATTGTTATTTTAGGATTGTACAGAGTCTGAAAAATCTGCATTCACTTGCTTGGATGGAATAAAAGGAGGCGCCACTAGTGATGGACCTATATCACAAAGCTGTCTGGCCCCTCGTATAGACAACTGGTCATCAGTGATGTGTATCGAGACTGCAAATTCTGCGCATTTAGGTTATTTCTATGATACACCATCAAAGGTCTCTTCCCTTCAAGCTTACACATTGATGGCACAAATGGGGAAAGATAGCTACACTTACCAGTAAGTAGTACAGTAAGATTTACACTATTTTGAACACCTATACTCTTGAGATACTGTTATTAAAATAAATAGGACAAGTAAAAACATTTTGAATATTCAAACAAAACAGATCCTTTTTTGCCTGCTCTGCCTGCCCCTGACTCATGTGACAATAACAACCATTACTTTTTTTCCTCAAGGACTTATTAATTATAACGTAGGATCTCAATGTATGAATAGTGTAGGTATACTGAGTGTAAATTTCAGCCAGATTGACTGAGACACAAAATTTTTAGAGTACTTTTGCAAGAACTTTATGAACGCCCTGTATATACTAGATACGGTGTGGGTCTTTGATTTTTCTGGCACTTGATAATTGGCAATCGACTTATGTTTTCACACTCGCCAATGAAAAATTACACTCGCCACAGGGGACCACTGACTGATGTGTACTTTCAGTTTTTTTGTGAATAAAAATCTTTAAAAAGAAAGTAATATGTTTACGAAAATACTTAAAATTGACAAAGTTTTTCATATTAGACAATCTGGCAAGGTACTTCAGTTTTACACTTGACTCTAAATATTTACATCTGCCTAGGGCTACTGTCGAGTGGATGTGACCCACACTGGATAATACTATATTAATATGAACAGTTGGTTTGTAAATGAGCCAATTAGGAGCTAAAAGGATAGATTTATAAAAAGGCTAGATGTTGTAAACACTGAGGTCATTTCCTTTATTGATAAAACTATGATTTTTTTGAAGCAATGTGATATTAATTGATTAATTATTAATATATAAATTACATGTAATGTAAATATTAATTAATTATTGATTAACTTTTTTTAGGCACCGGCAATTTAAATTATTTTTATGTCACATCAAAATTTGGCGACATATTCATTTTTGATACCAGTATTTATTTATATATCAGTGATTGGTGTGTGACACTTTGAATCTGTAACTGCTGTTACACTTGGGATACCATTTGTAATATCTTGGTGTGGTGAAATTTTGTCATGTTCATTCCTTCGTAGCAACCTTATGCAATTCACTACACGTCATGTTCAACTTCATGTACAGTTTGATTTAAAATTAATACACAGGATCAGTAAAATAAATTGATAAACTCTTTATTGATTCATTTTTTATATTAGATAATGCATTTGTATCATATTACATAGTGAGGTATCACTATAGATCCCTTACTGAAAAGTTCTCTGATAGGGCCCAACCCCCCTTGCCTCAAGCTACATGTACATGATTTAAAACACTGGGTCCTCATTCCCTTTCTTTATGGAATATCCTATTTCCTCAGCCGTACAGCTGCCCAACTTTCAGGGAGGTTCCATATGTTAGTAGCTGTCACAAGTGCCCATAGCTCTAGAATGAAATATTGTGCAAACATTTATTGTGAAACATTAGTTGTTTGCATATTTTAGCTCTAGTGTATGTGGACTAATTTATAAATTTGATTCTTATTTACTTTTCACTATGAAATTTTCTCTATGATTATTTCCTAAAATGCGTTTGGTTGAAGTGTTGATGCTAATTGGATATACATGTATGAGTATCAGCCATATCAAAATCAAATATCAGATACCAAAATATGATAAAGATATCACAAAATGTACTCCTTAAATTTTGAAAAGCCAACAAACATTTCAGTTACTGCTTGCATTTTTGAACATTGAATGTAATAGAATCTTACTTGCAGTATGTCCTGTCCTGCTATGGATCAAAACTGGTTGGGTACTGTTCATTAATATGGCTTGTTTGATATCATTTACTGCAATATTTAAAAAAATTGAAAAAATCATTAATAGAAAAGGAACAAGCAATCATTAGGAATCAAATCCCCAGCATCCAAAACAATTAACATACAAACAACGAACACTCAAATAATCAACATACAAACAATAAATATATAAACAATCAATATATAAATAATTATCATACAAGTAATACATATGTAAACAATCAATGTATAAAAAATCAACATGCAAAGAATCAACATACAAACAATCAATATATAAACAATCAATACATAAATAATTATCATACAAGTAATATACATGTATATATAAACAATCAATGTATAAAAAATCAACATGCAAAGAATCAACATACAAACAATCATTATACAAACAATCAAAATACAATCAGTAAATATATAAGCGATCTATATATAAACAATCAATACATAAATAATTATTCTACAAGTAATATGTATATAAACAATCAATGTATAAACAATCAACATACAAACAATCAAAACTACAAAACTATGCAACATAATATGGTGAAATTAATACAATCGAAGTTGAAGAACAAATGAAAAAAACACAGACTAATAATCTAATATGAAAAATGTTGTTGATATTAGTATATACTATGTACTCATAAAGCAAAGAGCATTCAGTCTAATGTATCAAAATGACACAACAAACAAGTTAAAGAAGACTAATGGTTTAAGGTGTCTGGATAATGGTGTATGTACTTGAAATTATACATGTTTCAGTAAGAGGGGGAGAAACCCCAGGGTTCTAAGTAGGGGTCCCACGATACAGTATCTTCAATTTCGATACGAGCAACGATATTTACCTCACGATACGATACAAACGATACGAGCAATGTAAGTGCGTAACAAATAAATTTATTTAATAATAACAAATACGTTAACAAGACAAATGTCAACCGCTGAACTTTGAACGTGAAAAATTTCTTTTTCTCCATTTTTTACCAGAAACCGGAAATACATTCTACGCCGGATTACGCTAGGCGGATAACAAAATGGAAACGGGACAATGGGTAGATACAATCGTATTTAAGCTGCTTTGGAGCATGATTTTGCTGTTTTGGGGAGTTAAAAACGATACAATTTTTTAACCGATATTCAAGGTGAGTATCGATACGCTCGTATCGTGGCGTATTGCTCGAGCGCTCGAGCAAATCCGAGCAATTGCGGGACCCCTAGTTCTAAGATGACATATGCTTATAATGTAAATCTGTATTGAGATGACATCGTCGCTGATTGGTTTAGCGAGTCGATCGTTGATTGGTTTAAAACTAGGTCAATTTGAAAACTTTGAAAATCAAGATGGAGGGTAAGTTTTCGACAAAAGGAGGTGCACGAAAGAGGAAATCGTATGTCATCAATTGAATCATGGGGTTTTCCCTCCTCTTTGTTTCAGTGTATGACAGTGAAAAATGTATTCTTGGGAGTTGAAACTCTACTTGAAATTTCCTGTTTGGATCATAGCCTACAGTTTGCCCACATTAAGAATATCTGAGTGACATGTATAATCTGCCATATTGTTAATTAAAACACTTTTGCAATGATCTACCCTCCATCAACATGGATCAAGAAACTAGTCTATTAATAGTATACAGTAAGACCTGTCTGATGTAAGGAATGGTTTTCTAAACCAAATATTTTCCATTGACTTCCATTTTAATGGATCCTCTCTATATGGAACACCTGTCTACTGGGAACAAGAAACAATGTTTCAAGGAAAACTTCACCTGTTCATATACTGTTCATGTATTTTTTGAATAGGAGTTGATTACAGTACCTGTAGGTTGATGGATGTATTTAATTCCAAGTGCCTCGATTGCCATTCTTTCTTTCATCTCATTGTAGCCTATTGAATCACCAAACTCTAAAGAATTCATGGATTCATAGTTTACCATTGATGTATTAGAGATGTACTCATTTGGTTTGCTTGCATCTATTCTGGTCTCTTCAAGTCGCTTCTTGCTTTGTCTGCCACCCATCTCATAGGTACCTGTCCCATCTCGTATGTTCAGTAGTGTTACTTCTTCTTGAGATGGGATTGAATTCTCTACAATACAAAATACAACATTATTGTCGGTGAAATAATACTTTTTATATTTATATGGTTAGATTCGAAGTTCCCCATTTAAAAATCTGAATTAAATTAAACCAGAATTAAATTATCTTTCAAATGAGGTGTGACACGATATGGAACATTTAGGACCTTTTGCTGTAGAGGGGGTGCCATTGTTTTTTGACACCCTGTATGTAAATCAACATGATAGCAAAATTAAATTCTGCTTTGTATAATTGGATTTTCCTCTCTTGAGAAGAATAGAACTAATTGAAGAATTTAACAAATAGCAAAAAAGTAAATTTCCTCAATGACTTTCCAGAATTGAACCAAAACTGAACTTTTCTGAAGTCAGTTGTCCCATACTAACAAAATTCTGAAATATTCTGCTTGTGACATCTGTAAAATCCATATAAACCTACGATGAAATGAACATGAAGCATAAAGTAGATTTACATTACCTGCTGGACCATTTCTCAAGTTAAATATGGTTGAAAATCCTGCTTCTTTTATTCGTTGGAGATGTGACGACCATATTTGTCCAGCTATGAATATGTTCTTATAAACATGCATCGCCTCCCAGTAATTGTACCAATCATGTCCAATTGGCATATCCTGGCTGTTAATAGTAATCGCAGAAGTCTTTTCTCCTGTGGTCTCTGACACAATTTCCATCAATTTCTCATCATTTGTAAAATCAAATCCAAAATTTGCTCCAATTTTGATAAGTTTTCTTGCCGTAATTTTCGGTTCAAATGAAGGGTTATGTCTTGTCTCATTGGCGAAATAGTTCAAAAGATAAAAGCTTGCGCTGTATCCTACACCGCTATGGACAAGTATTGGTTTTGGAAACTGTTGCACATTAACCAGTTCAGTGAAGGCATGAACAATTCGAATGTTTCTCCAGTCATTTGTTTCAAGATTGGCACTTCGATGTGCAATTCCAAATTTTATACCAGCTAAACTTTCAGCTACAATTTTTGTATCTTCTGTAGTTGGGAAGAATTCATCACCATGGTGGTATTCATTCGTAAAGTTGAATACACTTATAATTGATTTGAACCCAACTTCAGAAGCATATTTAACCATTCGCTCAGACAACCTGCCTGCTATGTAAAAGTTGTTTGTTACTTTTCGGGCCCACCATGTCTTACGGCCAGGCATATCATAGTTCAATGTAATTTTATCTAAAATATATATGGCATTAACCTGATGAAAACTAAACCCTATAAATCATTTGAACCAGACTGTTGTATTTTACTGTCCTTTTTACTAAAGGTACCTATTCCTGACATTTCTTGAATAGATAACATAAGAATAGGAAACCCCTGTAATAAGTTTACTGGAACCTTTCTAAAGCAAATAAGAAGTTAGTTTTGTACCATGGTCCATCAATAGTGTGGATCTTACAAATGCGCAACCAACTGTAAATATTTTTATGATTTGAAAAGCTAACTAGGCCATAGTTTCAACTTGAAGGGATGACGATCAATGAAGTAAGATCTAAGAATGTAATACATAGTTAATGAAACACAGAATGAAATCCTGTGCTAAGGGCTGATGTGAAAAAGTCAGTCCATCCCAGTGGAGATGGAACCCACGACCCCTCGTTTTCTGGGCAAATGCTCTACCACTGAGCTACAGAACCGACTGGCTTTTTCACATCAGCATTGCATACAGGGTTTTAAAAAAAACAGGACCGTAAGTTAACAACTTTCTTATGGTCCTGTTTTTTTAGACACCCTGTATATAGATTTGCAGCCATGTCTTACATGCCCAGTTTCCAGGACCCCATATAAGTTCCCTGTCTTTCCAGGTTGTCAGGTTGTAATACATGTACACCTACCGGATTTTTGCTTTGTTGTTGAAACCTCCATTAAATTTTCTACTTCTTTTGTCAATCCCAGTACTTCATCAGATAGCAATTTCACTCTGCTTTTTACTTTTTTCATCATTTTTGACATTTTCATATTTTCCTCCTTTACGATTGAGTTTAGAGTGTCTTTCATCATTCTAACATCATTATCTTGACAGTCAGTCACAGTAGATGCCTCAGAGCTCATCACTTCTATGACAAGTATCACTAAAGCCAGCACTTTTACCATCGTCCTCATCTTGGTAAAATAATGGAACGTTGAAGTGTTCAAATCTTCATTTATTTATTACTAATAAGGTTTTCACTGATTGATATTGTTTTGATTGTAACTTTGCTAACATAAATTGAACAAATCAAACAATGTAATATAAGAACGTGATCTTGAGCAGCATGTACTAGAACCTTGACTTTGGCTTGTTCAGTGTTAATATTAATTTATTAGATTGAAATATTTGGATACCTCAGAAATATTGTGCATGACATATACAAGTAATGTAAGGAACCAGGGAAAAAGTCAAATGTTCAATGTTTGTATTGATTTGACACCATTTATGCTAAATGGTTCAAGAAAAATGTTAAAACTTGACTTAAGCTCGTCAGTACTATGAAAAGTATGTGTATTACCGAAGCTAGCACTTTTAACATCGTCCTCATCTTGGTAAGATCATCGAACTTTGAAGTAACTTTGAAGTCATTTATTTGTTACACAGATCTTCAATGTTTGATATTTTTTAGTTTTTTACTTTGCAAACATAAATTGAACAGATCAAACAGTGTAATTTAATAAACTATAATATTATGTGATCTTGAGCATGTATTAGAACCTAGACTTTGGCATGTTCAATGCTAATATTAATATAATATAATGTGATCTTGAGCATTATTAGAACCTAGACTTTGGCATGTTCAATGCTAATATTAATATAATATAATGTGATCTTGAGCATTATTAGAACCTAGACTTTGGCATGTTCAATGCTAATATTAATATAATATAATGTGATCTTGAGCATGTATTAGAACCTAGACTTCGGCATGTTCAATGCTAATATTAATATAATATAATGTGATCTTGAGCATGTATTAGAACCTTGACTTTGGCATGTTCAATGCTAATATTAATATAATATAATGTGATCTTGAGCATGTATTAGAACCTAGACTTCGGCATGTTCAATGCTAATATTAATATAATATAATGTGATCTTGAGCATGTATTAGAACCTAGACTTCGGCATGTTCAATGCTAATATTAATATAATATAATGTGATCTTGAGCATTATTAGAACCTTGACTTTGGCATGTTCAATGCTAATATTAATATAATATAATGTGATCTTGAGCATGTATTAGAACCTTGACTTTGGCATGTTCAATGCTAATATTAATATAATATAATTTGATCTTGAGCATGTATTAGAACCTTGACTTTGGCATGTTCAATGCTAATATTAATATAATATAATGTGATCTTGAGCATGTATTAGAACCTAGACTTCGGCATGTTCAATGCTAATATTAATATAATATAATGTGATCTTGAGCATGTATTAGAACCTAGACTTCGGCATGTTCAATGCTAATATTAATATAATATAATGTGATCTTGAGCATTATTAGAACCTTGACTTTGGCATGTTCAATGCTAATATTAATATAATATAATGTGATCTTGAGCATTATTAGAACCTAGACTTTGGCATGTTCAATGCTAATATTAATATGATATAATGTGATCTTGAGCATGTATTAGAACCTAGACTTCGGCATGTTCAATGCTAATATTAATATAATATAATGTGATCTTGAGCATTATTAGAACCTAGACTTTGGCATGTTCAATGCTAATATTAATATAATATAATGTGATCTTCAGCATGTATTAGAACCTAGACTTCGGCATGTTCAATGCTAATATTAATATAATATAATGTGATCTTGAGCATGTATTAGAACCTAGACTTCGGCATGTTCAATGCTAATATTAATATAATATAATGTGATCTTGAGCATTATTAGAACCTAGACTTCGGCATGTTCAATGCTAATATTAATATAATATAATGTGATCTTGAGCATGTATTAGAACCTAGACTTCGGCATGTTCAATGCTAATATTAATATAACATAATGTGATCTTGAGCATGTATTAGAACCTTGACTTCGGCATGTTCAATGCTAATATTAATATAATATAATGTGATCTTGAGCATGTATTAGAACCTAGACCTCGGCATGTTCAATGCTAATATTAATATAATATAATGTGATCTTGAGCATGTATTAGAACCTAGACTTCGGCATGTTCAATGCTAATATTAATATAATATAATGTTATCTTGAGCATTATTAGAACCTAGACTTCGGCATGTTCAATGCTAATATTAATATAATATAATGTGATCTTGAGCATGTATTAGAACCTTGACTTTGGCATGTTCAATGTATTTATATTTATGATACATTCGCTTGAATTGCTGTTTGTTACTTGAGACTTAATTATGCAAGTTGGGTCTAAAACAACTGGGCAAAAACATGACAAGATTTTAATCTGTGTGGTCATGACGGCCCAACCAATATTTATTTATAAGACTGAAATATTTGGATACCATAGAAATATTGTGCATGATATCACGTTCATGTAAACTAGTAAAGTACGTATAATCCCCATCTAAAACACTGGCCTATGTGACATGTAATAACAAACTGAAATATAGAAAATTTTCAACATAGCATTTGCTTCTGTGTTCTGTATGCCCCTCTACCTGCTTAATAAGGCAATGTGTCTTCAAATAAAACGTTAGACTGATTACAATAATAGGCCTCAGTAATACCTTGGTACCAGTAATACCTAGTATAGACTATATTACAGTTTGGCAGCCCTGCCCCCACTACCCTTGCCCGTGATGGCTTGGGCGGGGGCTTGGGTCATAGGGATTACTTTACATCTGGTCTACTAAGCAATTAATCCAAGGTTTTATAGCTAATATTTTTGCTTTGTTTGTTTCCAGAGAAACTGGTAAACGGTCAACAGAAGAGAATTTGCCAGGTACAGACAGGATAGGATACAAACAAGGAATCATGCTTAAAACAAGTATGTTTTCAAACTATATGTACTAGATAGTATTGCATATTGTTGCATGATAATTGCTTTCTCAGTTAACTAGTTCAATTTTTTTAACATCTGAAATACGTATTTCACTATTTCACCCTAAACATTTGTACCTCTTTTTGGAGCTTTAATCTACCTTTAACCCTAGAAGCCACAAGATAAATAAAGTTACATGAATGCCCAAGCGGGGGGGGGGGGGGTCAAAAGGCCACCCTCCTTTTAAAATTTTTATTAGTGAATCTAGGATGTTCAAACTTTCCCTTTTACATCTGTAGCTCCAGCTACCAAAAATAGCCAAAAAATAGTTATTGGGAAAAAACATTACAGGGGGGAGTCATTTTGACATTCTATGGTTAAGTTATCCATAAACATTTACAATTGTGTCTTTTTGCGGAAATTCATATTAATTCAAATTTATTTATTGTCAATTTATTAATGTCACTGTTGTTGATACGCCTGATATATAATTGTATATTAGATTTGTATTAATACATGTTATTTATAACACTCTACATCTAAATTTGGCGCTTCTTATATAGGTGGATTTGCTGTTTTAAACATTTGGTAGCTACTTAATTTGGCGGACTTGCAATGTTACAATGTACTAATGGTACTAATTTACATGGTACTAGACTTACGCAGAACTTGTTGGCTATACTTAATTTGGCAGACTTTAACAATTGAAACAGCCACCAAATTAAGTAGAAGTACAGTAACTGTTAATTGTATTGGTAGTATTATTATCTTACTATTTTTATGTTATAAGGAGTGCTTGGTGAGCCCGGTGGCAGTTCAACCTTCACAGGTTATCTAACCCAGCCACAGGAAACTGCAGATGGATGTTTACAGACTGCTCCAATTCACTATCTAATGGACACAGAGTCCAGGTAAATTAGGAAAAAATAAGAAAGTTCTATTAAAATCAAGTGACAACATTGAGTACTACACCAAAAGCTGGAGTTTTTATGTCACTACCAAAAGTGGTGACAAATTGTTATGGTCTTTTTTGTAACGACAGTTGGTGTCTGACAGTCGGTGTTTGGCATCTGTAATAAATGGAGTGTGGTGATATTTAGGATGTTAATGCCAGCTTGCTATATATTTGAATCACTCTATAATATTATAGACTGGCCATATGAAAATAGTAATGGGGGGGGGGGGCACAGACTTTTATTCTTCAATGTTAATGGACAGTGCTAGTCCTTGATCTTGACAATACATGTACATTTTCAACTTTCTAGATGCACTCAGATATTGACCTTATTCAAGGCTTTAATTCATGAATTGCTGTTTATATATTGATGATTTACAGTGTATGAATATTAATCAAACAGTATAGTATTTGAATACCAAACAAATTATTTTTAACAAATGAACAAATTGTTTGATATTGAAATTAATAAGACCTGAATGATGCACGTTCACAAGTTGTCAGTATTTTTTGAAAATGATTATGAATATTGTTGTAAATTAATTAATTACAATTCATGTATTTCAATTTTTATTGTAGCTGGTGGGTGGGTTTCTGCAATTTACTTTTCTTGTCTTAGCATTTTGACCAGATTGATTTGAAACTTTAAAGGATTTTTGGTATGAAATTTTTCAAGTTATTGGGTATTTTATGATACAATGTTTAAATGTCTTCTACATGCTACATGTTTTACATTACATTTGTGTTCAAAATAAATAAATAACAGTATGGTATAAATCATCCCTTCATATTTTGTTTGACTTTACATTATATATATTTTTATCCCACTAAACGAAGTTTGAGAGGGATATATGATAGCCGTCCATCCGTCCTTCCATCCGTCCCTCCATTTGTCCGTATGTCCAGGCGATAACTCAGATACCAGTGGACGGATTTGATTCAAATTTTATAGGATTATGCCTTATGGGTGTAGGACCTCTGCTCGAGAAGGAATTTTCATAATGGCTGCTCAATTCAAAATGGCCACCATTTTTTGTAAAAAATGTAATCTATGATAACTCAATTTCTAGTGGACGGATTTGGTTACAAATTTATCAGCTGATGCCTAAGCACAAAGAAGCTTTAATTCAAGAAGAGAGTTTCAAGATGGCTGCTAATTTTCAAAATGGCCACAATTTTTCTCAAGAAAAACATAATCTTTGATAACTCAAAGTACCAGGAAATGGATTTGGTTCAATTTTTATGCTAATGCCTAGGGATACTGTTATGTAGCCTTGTTAGAGACACAAGGACACAGTTGCTCTGTTCGAGAAAAAATTTAAAGATGATAGCTGAATTTCAAAATGGCCACCATTTTTTCGTTAAAAACTGTAATCTTTGATAACTCAAATACCAGTAACCGGATTTCGTTCAAATTTCCAAATGGCTGTAATTTTTTATACCGGTGAACAGATTTGGTTTAAATTTTACTTGCTTCTACCTAGGGACAAAGGAGATCTACTTATTACGAAATTTTGAAGATGGCAACAGTATTTTAAAATGCCCATTATTTTTCGTAAATAAGATGGTGAATGTATTTCAAGATGGCCACAATTATTCGTAAAAACGTAATCTTTGATAACTCAAATACCAGTGAATTGATTTAGTTTAAATTTTAGAGGCTGATATGCTCTGTTCAAGATGAAATTTTGGAGATGGCCACTTATTTTCAAAATGTGTTTTGTTCGGTGGGATTTGCTACTTTGATCCAACATTACCATTAAAATACAAGTTAAGAGTGACTCCAGGTTTTTATATCACCACCAAGAGTGGTGACATATTGTTATAGTCTCCATTTTTTGGCTTATGTTCGGTGTTTAACATCTGTAACAGTAGTCAGTATCTGTAAGAAATGGCAGGTGGTGACATTTAGCATGTTGATTCCTTGTTTTATATTGTTGTCATTTACAGGTGTTCCTACAAGGTGAATGCTGACTTGTGTAAGGAGGACTCTGTATTAAGTGCAGCTATGTACATACAAAGTAGCACCCAGTCTCAACCACCTTGCCCTAGATCTCCAGCCTTATTGGCTCAACATGGGGGCTCCAAGTTGGCACTCACAACAACTCACTATCTATGTGCTGAGGATTACACAGCATTTGTTAAATCAACTGAAAATATTGAAGATATGTTAAAGCCAAATAAGGCATCATTGTTCGTTTTGGATTTAGCACCTGGATGTGCTATAGACTCCGAAGGGAGCACTTCTTGTGAGAATGGCACTGAATTTGTACCAATAGGAGACAGTTTTGTCAATGAAACCCAGTATGCGCGATGCACATGGGACGACAGCTTTACAGCTCCACCATTGCCAATCTACAATGCTACGACAAATATGTGTCATAATGCGGTTGTTGACGTTACTTATGACATCATCTGGGCGGGATTGGAAATCCTCCAATTAAACGCTACAATTATTCTTGCTGATCTTCCCACAGTTATCACTAATGAAATCAACACAACTGTACGATATACAAATGAGTTCAATGTAACAGACCCTGTTTCAAATGAGACAACGGTAGATCGTGTAGAAAGTTCTTACACCAAGACAACCATTGTGGAGCTACCTGTAGTTGTAACACAGCCAATGAAGACAAGGTAAGTTATCTGCCATTTACTAGAGATGTCACAGAACAAAAAACTGTTCGGAACATTTTGCTTTGGAACGGGACAATTTTAGAACGGTTAGGAACAGAGTGACTGCATGTATAAAATTTGGTATGATTCTATTTGTTAGCGAAAAGCTCTTCAAAACTCTTCAATGAGAAGGAGTAAGAAGAATGAACTTCTTTTGGTGCAAAATATTTAAAGAAAAATGCTGTTTTGTGGTTATTTAAGTGCCACAAGTTGTGTAAGATTTTCTTGTTCCGAAACTGAACCGAACTTCTTAATTTTTTTTATTTTGTGTTCTGTTCCGAGAACGTAATTCCGTGGGTCAAAACAAAATCAGGTATCCGTGACACCTCTACCATTTACTCTTTGCATTCTCAACCTATCTGCACTCTTTTAATTAGAGATGATTCTTTAATCTTATATCAGAAAAAGCCATGACACTATTAATTAACACTATTAATTTCATATTAAACTCAGATTGTTGATCATTAAAGGTGTGATTGTTAAGAACTTATCAACATCAAGGTTAAAAACTAGATTAAAAAGTTTTGGATATGACATACATTTAAAGTGGCTTGAAATCTTTGAGTATTTCATTTGATGTGATTATGCTTCCTTCTTTGTTAACTAATCATTTTCAAAATGGAAACAAAAATATGAAATGTGTTCAGATCCGAGAGAGATTCAGCATGTTTCATTATATATAGTTTATGCTTTGATTCATTGTTTTCAGGTTCTTACACAATTTCTCTTCAAACCAAACAACAGAAAGTGACATACAAAATGATGTAACAGCAAGATCTGGAAGTCCTGGTGAGATCGATCTTTCATATTGTATTTTTATAAGAATTTTTTTTAATGAAATGATGTAACAGCAAGATCTGGAAGTCCTGGTTAGATCGATCTTTCATATTGTATTTTTAGAAGAATTTTTTTAATGAAATGATGTAACAGCAAGATCTGGAAGTCCTGGTTAGATCTATCTTTCATATTCTATTTTTATAAGAATAATTTGATTTACATATTGTTCATATATTAGTACTATGTACAGGTATCAGGCCCGTAGCCAGAATTTTCCAAGGGGGGTTCACTTTTCCCAAAAATTCTAGGGGGTTCACTTTGGCAAATTTGGCCAAAAATCACTCAAAAAATAGTCAGAATGGTGAAAAACTGCATGATTTTGAAAGAAATTTTGGTTCGCCGGAACCCCCCGAACTCCCCCCCTGGCTATGAGCCTGGGTATCCCACGATGTATTTTTGAATCAATGATTAAAAGATCAACTTTAATACTGTGTGCAAAAGCAATTTTGGTGTTAATTCAAGATACTCTACCTAGATATTTTTAGATCCTATACCAACCTTGTTCAACCCAAAGTATAATTAATTTTTTAATCAAAAATGAAAATTGAAAATGCATAAAAACCACCTCATTTTTTAAAATTTTCAATATTAATTTAAATGAGTCATGCTAGATGCAATTATGCTATCATAGTCTTTGAAGGTTTGGTTTTGATGGAAACTACTTCTTCAAAGATAATCAACAGAATCTTCAACAAACATGAAATGGCAACTAAAGACATTAAAATTATATTTCAGGTTATTTGCTTGGCAAACCACTGCTGAGTAGCGTTGGAATGCCATTTGGAAGTACAGTGGAAAATGTGACCAGTTATAACACTGATTTAGCTTACCAGCTAGCTTTATGGAACACAGGTAGGTGGTTTTTAAGGTTTTTCATGAAACTATTTTGAAGTATTTCTTAGGCTTTTCATGAAACTATTTCCAATTTACTATTTGATTTCTCTGATCATGTGTTCTTGTGTATTAATTCGTATGTATAATTCTGAGTATATGTTAGAGGCAGAGTTGATATTATTAAACAGGCAATGCGCCTATTTTTGAAGGAAGGACAAAATATTATTTGAGACATGTTACTCACACAGTCAATCAAATATGATAAAAACTTTAATTTGGGTCAATACTGAAGTGAAAAAAATTACTCGCATATAAAACAGCATTTGAAGTTCAGAGATCAAAAGAAGTGAATTACCACTTTTCACAAAGTGTATGTTTTTAAATAACTTTTGGATTAAAAGATGGGGTATGGTTGAAAATCCAATCAAAAATTAATGGATAATTTATGCAAACAACAATGCAATCTTTGAATGGCATTGCTAAAAACTTGACATATATAAAATGATAGATCGAAAAAAAATTCATGATCTAGTGTCAACTCTGATGTGGTCTGTTTGAGCTGTTTTTGGTGTCAAATGAAAGATCAGGTACTTATTAATCCATTGGGAATACTATGAAGATCAAAAGTGAGACTTCATTTACGCATTTTGTTCCTTTAAAACATATTTTTGTGACCACCATTCAACATGAAGTGTCATAACTTAATTATTACACTTGTGTGTAACTTCATCCAGGTGGTCATATATGTTATCCTGTTATGTCTTCGTTTGTTTGTATTCTACTATAGATGGCAGCGGACTCTGTGTTCAAGCTAAGAAACGTGGATTGAAGTTTGGTGAAGACGCACAAAGTGGATGTCTACTCAGATTGAATTATTCTCTCCTAAATGACTGTGATAACCTAAGGTTTGTTTCCTCATTCATCATTTGTTGATTTGCTCATGTTTTTGTAAACATTTTGCAATTATGTTTTGTATACTTTTCTAAACTGGTGGAAAAAACAATCGTAACACTCACTCATATTAATATGTTCATTGTGAGGCTAGAGATAAATAAGAGATTTAATATGAAGAAAATAATGAATGATTCTAAGCATGACTGATCTGTCTGTGGAGAATTAGTTAGGACTATTGAATTTATATTTCCCCAATATAGTTGTTTTTGATATTTTCTTATTATAGACGCACTGTGTTAAATCGTCAACTAGCCATTATGCTATCTGAATTAATATTTCTCCAAAATAGTTCTTTTTGATATTTTCTTATTATAGACGCACTGTGTTAAATCGTCAACTAGCCATTATGCCGTCTGAGTATGTGCGCAAATTTGGTGACCCTGACCTTGACAGTTCCATTGACTGGCTATCAATTGTCAGGTAATATAGATGTATTAAAATGGTTTATTTGTTTTCGTTCAAGGAATATTTTTGTTTTTGTAGGTAGGTCATAAAACTGTGTTGTACACATTGTATATAAATGGTAAAATCTCTAATGATAGATGTTAGCTGTTAATTATTGATTTAATTTGTACAACTTATGTATTTTACAAATTATGTAATACCTTCGCAATATTTCAGGGAACCATTTTTTATCAATAACACAGAGGACATAGCTGAAACCAACCTTGCATTAAACATCACATCTGGTTTAAACAGCACATCTGCACCTGAGTCCAACAGCAGTATAAGCAACAAGAGCACCAATGATGAAGTATTTCAACAGCTGCAAGGAGTATGTGCAGATGTTCCTGCTACCATTTACTTACAGGTCTGACACAATGTGATTCATAATATAATTTACATAATGTGATTCATAATATACTTTACATAATGTGATTCATAATATAATTTACATAATGTGATTCATAATATAATTTACATAATGTGATTCATAATTTAATTTACATAATGTGATTCATAATATAATTTACATAATGTGATTCATAATATAATTTACATAATGTGATTCATAATATAATTTACATAATGTGATTCATAATATAATTTACATAATGTGATTCATGATATAATTTACATAATGTGATTCATGATATAATTTACATAATGTGATTCATAATATAATTTACATAATGTGATTCATAATATAATTTACATAATGTGATTCATAATATAATTTACATAATGTGATTCATAATATAATTTACATAATGTGATTCATAATATAATTTACATAATGTGATTCATAATATAATTTACATAATGTGATTCATAATATAATTTACATAATGTGATTCATAATATAATTTACATAATGTGATTCATAATATGATTTACATAATGTGATTCATAATATAATTTACATAATGTGATTCATAATTTAATTTACATAATGTGATTCATAATATAATTTACATAATGTGATTCATAATATAATTTACATAATGTGATTCATAATTTAATTTACATAATGTGATTCATAATATAATTTACATTATGTGATTCATGATATAATTTACATACTGATATGTCCTTGAAATGTTAAGTCTTACATATATCAAGAGTAATTTTACTGGTATATTTTAGAGCCCATGGGTTCTATTCTGAAAGAGGTTTAATATTTCTTTGCGAATCTGTAATGAGTCAATCATTGGTTTAAAAAATTACTATTATATCACAAACTGAAATGATAAACAAAGGGAGAAATTAAATTGTTATTTTTATAACCTAAATTTCACTTTTGGACCCAGGGTTGCAACAGTATGCAGTATTTGTTGTTATTTCTTGATGTCTAATATCTCTATTTTTATATCAGATATCTTGATAGCAATGTACTGCAATGATATTCTTTTGCAGATATTCTATGCAGTGACTGGGGAACTCTATGGGGAGGATGTGCACCAGATCACAGGAGCTTACATCAAGTAAGGACAGGCTATTCAGATATTGAGGATGTTATGTTGACATTACTGGTATATACAATTTAAGACCTGCAAAGCGGAACACCTAGTACCTCCATAAGTGAAGCACTTCAAATGTCAATTAGCCATTAACGTAGTATGACATGAACCTCTGCAAATGCAACCCTAGTCTTGCTTAAAAGACCCTGTACTCCCCCCACCCCTTTATCCTTCTCTCTGTATATTGCCAGGTAAAGACAGTGAAGGTGGCGGGAGGGGGGGGGGTGGATACAGGCTTTGAGCAAGACTAATGCAACCCATCAAAAGTTGAACACTGTCAATGACCAATGCTGTTTCACTTTCACACTTTTAACTGTAGTACTCTTTTATATTTTAGATTCGAGCCAACCACTTGGAGCCTTGGGTGCTCTGGGGTAACATCCACCATGTGCAGTATTGATAGTGATCTTGTGCAAAGCTTTACAGTGAATAGTGTCGTTAAGTTTATCAAAGTTCCAGCCAGGGAGCCAGACCCTGTCACCAGGTTGGTATATTATAGCACCACCAAAAACTAAAGTGTGTTGACATATTGTTGTTTAACTCTCTTGATGCCATAATAGGTTTCAAAACAGACGTCTCAGTGCCGCATTATTTTTAAATCTGACAGCTTTTTGATATATTTTGCACTTCCATTATGAAAACCTGGATATAAGACTTAATCCTGAACCAAATGCAATGAAACTTATCATGGGTCATGAAAATAACAAAGGCTTGAAGATCCATGTATAACATTAAGTGAGGGCGTTGTGGGTTGCCATAGCAACCATATTCACCTTGGAATATTTAATAACAAGAAAATATTCAAATATCTGAATTCAAAGACTGGTTATGTATTAGCAATATCAGCACATCACATACATTACATGTCCTTTTTTCAGTTGTTGCATGTCAGAATTATTTCTTATTCAGAATAAAACATTCTAAATTAAATAAAGCATAGGGTTGTATCCAGATGTTTATATATAATGTCTTAATGTCATGATAAGATTTCAAATATAGATGTCTATTTGACAAATTATCTTTTAAATATAACATTTTGCAAAAATTTTGTAACTGTATTGTTGAAATACAAATATTTCATTCAGTTGATAATGAGTTGTTGTGAAACTTGCCATGGGTCATCATGATGACATTATCTTCAAAGTTCATAATAAAAAACTTTAGTCCACTTAACATATCTGTTACTATGGTAACCATATTAAATCTCGGGTACAAAACATCAGGTAAAAAAACAAAAATACTGAATTTCAAAAAATCGCAATTACCCATTCTGCATTATTTAGCCTAGTCTATGCTAAATCAAGAATGATTAATGAATCAGCAATTAATCGTACTTACTCTTTTATGAGCTTGTATTTGTATTTCATTTTCAGAAAATATAAAACAATAATAAGGATGTGTACAGTAGTAAAATTATATAATTATGGACCACCCTGTAAATGAAACATGTTCACCATTCTGTATTTTGATTACTGGAGTTCACCTCTGAATGATATCTTGGGAAGCATCTTCCAATACAAAGAACAATGCACCAGTTAAATTGTTGATTTGTAAAGATGCTATGTTGAGCATCAATATTATATGTTGCCCTTCATGTTTGTGCAAATAGATAAGCACGAATGATGTTGTAATATTAACTACAGATCCATAATGCCTTCCTTGTGCCAGATAATAGTGTTTTACATTGAACAATACAATGTAAAACATTTTTACTGGCATAGCACAATTCTTTTCTCCATACTGATTATAAGTAGGCCTACACTAAACTGCAACAATAATCATTTATTTTCACAGTCACTTTAAACTTCAGGCTCATTAGGTTATGTACAGTACCAGGTATCTTATCAATTAAATGATGTTCCTTCAAACTCCTTTCAAAGGCATTATGCCTTGGTTTCCCAATAAATTTCTTTGTTCTCGTGTCATCTGTAAATCAAGTTTCTTTCCATAATGGTAACTGAATCCAGGAATCTGTACCAGTCATCTTTGCTGTTGAGCTGAAAAACAACAAATGAATTGGAATGTAAATTATATGCACTTCATGCAATTACATGTATGACTATTTGTACTTGTTTTGGGATGATTTCATCAAACAACAGAACAACAGGCTGAGCCAAAAATGCCACTTTTACAAAAAATGCTAGAACTTTTTTATTACCCAACCTGCATACACACAAGTTTGCAATTATATAGAGCCAGTGGTCCTGATTAATAAAATAGGCTAATGTAATGAGTACATTTTTTATGATAGTTTTAGTTTTGGTCCCCATGCTGATATAGCATTTTCAATGAAACGTTGGTGAAGTTTCTTCCAACTTTTTATTGCCCATCTTCAATGATCATAGGGCTTAACACCACGACTAATGGCGGGATGGTCATCAGGCAGCATCAGTGAAAGGTACATTATGCAAATTATGTTAATTTCTCATGCCACATGTAAAAGTGAGACGCGGGTGACATCTTTTATTTAAGTAAACATGTACTAGATTGCATTCTCAAGTTTCTTTGGGTATAAATATGATTTTGGATCAAATATTAAGTGGCATTTTTGGCCCACACTGTATGTATTAAACCCATGTATTATACCATATTGGAATTTAATGTGACTTTGATGACTGGTATGTTTATGTCTATACATGTTATGGTTGAAATTAGGTTGACATTCAAGGCACTGTGTGAAGTTTAAACCACATTGGATTATATTTCGTTGTATGAGAAAAATGTCCCAAGAGCCATTGAAAAAATGAGATATTTTTGAAAAAATAACGATTAGAGAAATTTGTGCCCATTGAAAATACATAGCAAAATGGACATAGCTCAGCTTTAATCTTTCGATGTTAGTGTTACGAAAAAGTCGGAATTGAATTGTCCTATCTCCATTTTTAATATGCTTGAAAATTGGCTTAGAAAATCTTAAAATTCATGAATTCTGTAGTGAAAATATACACATTTTTGATACAAAAAAATATAAAAATTTAACAAATGACATATAGATAGTATTGAAGTAACAGATGACTAAACTTTCAAAAATTGATTTCTCTGTTTCACAAAAATGTGAGTTGGGACATTTTTATTCTCATTGTGCATTGTGAAAGTATTATTCCCCATTGTTATTATCAAAATGTGATGCAATTGACACTTTTTATCTTAATTTAATGTTTTCATAAAAAGTCGTCTTTTTCAAAATATGACAAATAAAATTTGGATGATTAAAGGTGGGGCCATTTACAATAAAATATTACTAGGGATTTTACATAAATAGCATACCTGCAGTCAAAAATTGTGGTCATATAATCTGCTAGAATGGACTCCTACTTTGTTCTTTTGATATTTGTGTGTACCATTTCAGGTTGATTTTTGTACTGCACTGCTCCCATGACAGTTGTAACTAAGCTATGTATCTCTGGAAAACAAAATTGAAACATGAATAAATATACCTTGCAAGTATAGTTAACTATGAGTATGGGGCAGGAGAGGCAACTATTTTTTCAAGGTTTTTGCATAAAATTGTAAAAATTATGTCACAAATATATACAAAAGTTGCTCTTTGGCTTAAATTTTAACTTGCTGTGGTTTCTTTTGGATCCTATTTTCACTAACTTAAATAATAAAATGAACTGCTCTCATTCATGTCATTATTGATGTCAATGTGAACAATAAAAGTATTGAAATGGATGTCCTGTGAATTTCTGTTTTCTGAATGAGCTCACTTTATCCTTTGAATCTGAACTCCATTTCTTGAACACTTAATTAAAATAGCTCAGACAAGTTATTTGTTAGAAATTGACAAAACAAAACCTCAACCTTTTCAACAAGAACAGATTTCTGCTTCTTTGAGGGGACTAAAAATGAACAGTCCTGTATATCCAAACACCTGGCTAATCCGAACACTTTTTCAAGTCCAAATCTATCCTCCCATTGATTCCTATGTTAAGAAAACCTTGAAATCTGAACACCTCTAATTCGAACAATGAACACTCATATTTGAAAAATAACCTGCCTAAACGAACACTTTTCACAAAATATCACATATTTCTTACAAAACTGCTCACGTGTTGTCAATTTAACACTGAGTTCTTATGCTATCAAAACTTTTGAAAAAACAACAAATGATCTCAATCCTAATTGGTTTCTCTGGCATGACTTTGGAACAAAGCTATGTTGTCAATAAAAGTATTAATATTAATTCAGAATGATTTTATGCATTTATATTTCTTCAAAAGCAAGAATCTTGCAGATGCAACCACCTCAAAATCTCAAAGCTTTTAGCCAGCCCTACTGGCATTCGGATTAGACAGGTTTTACTGTATATATTTTGCTATCTGAAATGATTTAGGAAATTGATATTCCGACCAAACTTTATCTCGTGCATTGGACATTTATTTTTTTGTCAAATAAAATGATGGCAATGTTTATGATAATTGTTATTATACTGTATTTGCTGCTTCATACTTTGCACAGTATCTGCATGGAAAAAATACATGTACTGTATTACAATACTATAGACCAATGTAATCTAGCATGATATACTGTATTCTCTGTAAATTTCCTGTTCTATTATATTTTTCAATTTTCATGATTTTTTGAAGATTCACAAAATGTAATACTGTATTCTATTAAATGAACACATAGTACCGATAAAGTACATGCGACTTTTATGATCTCAAGAAAACACAAAGTTTAATGCATTATGGTTTTGATTATTATTAAATGATATATGATTAATCTAATTCAGAGAAAGATATATGGGAGCTGTACTGTATGTAAACCTCAGCTCAGTGATAACATCTTGTAAAAATATTATTGGTGATATTTTTTCTACCTACCCCTTCGACTGATTCAATTTCAATTGATTCATCTTGGGAAGTACAGTATGCTCTCATTGGTGAGAATACACTAGCCGCGAAATCCCAATAGTTCAAATTCGCACAATATAAATTTTAGTCTAGTGCTTGGTGAAAAAAGGTAGAATGGTACTGTTTTCTTAATTTTAAGTTGGGTTCTAAAAGATTTTAATCAAAGAAATTAAAAAAACTGGAAAAATTTGTTCCCAAATCTACAAAAAGTAAAAGCCATGAAATTCAGAAAACTGAAGGTTAGTGAAAATAAATAGACACAAAATTTCAAAACTGTGAAAAAATATATTCTTCTTGATTTCGTTATTTGGGAAGTTAAAACAAGTCATACATATTGTAACAACTAGCCTAATTTGGGTAGTGTGGATGGTTGTTATTTATTTTATTAGGCTAAGTCACTTCGAGGGATACTTGGTGCACATTAAATGCACGTGATGATATAGCGACACAACATCGAATATAAAATAAACACACATATATTGTTGCTTATCCAGCCCAAAAATGTATACAGAATAAATCGGTGTAAATTAAGTTGTAAAAGGCTACTTGAAAGTCCTTTGTTTATGTGAAATATCAAAGTTTATATTAAAGAGTGTCTATCCATTTCTCACTATCAGTTGTCGAAAAT